ATTGTGTGTCAATCTGTCATGACAAGATCTCTTCTGATTCTCTGTTTGCAATGTTTTCACAGAACTACTAGAAATGGCAGCTGTCTGTTCAATGTTTCCTCCATAGCACTCATCGGTAATGAGTTGTCAGTCTATCTTTGTTGCTTGACAAGTATTGAGATGTTTCAGAATTCTTCTTTTTATGCCTATCATCCTATTATACATGGTATTTGTCTTGAATGGCAAAGAAAGAAACGAAGAATCAATTTTCACCAACACTTTATCTGATGTTGGTTTCAAATCTTATCACAATGGTGATAGAAATGCAGCTGTTTTGGCAGAGTCAGTTAATGTTGCCAAAAAACTTTTCTTTTTCATCATTACTGTGTATTACTGCTTCGAACACAGCATATTTCCCACTAAGACAGACACTTTTACTGATGTTTATGAAGGACTTCATAACAGAATGCTGAGCCCTCGGCCTGGAAGTGTTTCTGCAAATTGTGACAGCAAAATTCATATTTTTTCATTATGCATCTATGCCCCCAGATTACCTGAAGACAATGAAGGTTCCAGAAAAGAAAGACCATTTCATTCTTTTGAAGCTTCCCAATTATAGATCCACAGAATTTAAAGCACTTTCCCTCTTTTCAATAAACTTAATGCAAAGAGCTGTCAGAAGCAGTCATGTAATCAAATCTAAGTCAGGTATAAGATCTAGTGGTCAATGCACCAAGAGGAGAGACCACTTTTCAGCAAAGGTACCTAAGTATGAAAAATATCCACATCACAAAAAATGTGATAATTCACAATCATGCTCTTTGACCTGCGATGTTGATGTGGTTCCAGAAGATCCTTCAGTTTTGCATGGTATTCTGGCATTGCAATATGACATTGGAAAACATTATTTGAATGTGCAAAGCCTTGGTGATAAGGGGAAATATAATTTGCTTCTGAACTGTTCAAAGCTAAGCTCCGATTTTCAGTGTCCTTTGGACACTTATGGTCGTAATATTTTTGCACAGCTGGTTGATAGACTTCCCCTGGTTGTCATACTCTAAAAGTTTGGATGGTGCTCTCTGCATTTAGGGTGTTTTGTTTGCTTCGATGAAAAATAGCCACAATTCATCAAAGTTGGTTCATTTGTGGAAATCCCCTTGCACAAATTGGTCCAATGGGCCAAATAGGTTTTGTGCACACTTCGAAAAAGCACCTCTGCATCCCCTGTCATGACTTCCCCTGTCATGACTTCCCCTGTCATGACTTCTCATTTCAGGCAGTCTATGGAGCAAAAGTTGAAGCCTATTGATAGGCAATTGAATAATTTTGTCGATGACCAAGTAAGCCTCAACAGGGGAAGATTAGAACCAATCGTGGGAGGAGTCATTTATTTTAGAAGACAAATTCTTTTTTTAAGAGGTCATAGAGATGACTCCCAGTATTATGACCAGGGGGGTATTAATCCTGGTAATTTGCAAGAATTTTTTAAATACTTGGTTCGCTATGGCAAAAATTCTCTATTTGAGGATCACATGCTCAATGCTCCAAAATCAGCCACTTACTGTTCCAAAACCATCCATGGAGCTCAATTCTATTTGCCAAGGCTACATTCTAGAGAAATTGACGGACGAAATTAGGGCTTCCAGATATTTCTCTGTATTCGCAGAAGAAGCTACAGACGCAAGTAACTGGGAACAAATTGCCGTTGCGATACAGTTTGTTGTTGGAAGTCTGAGATACGTGAGGTTTTTGTTGGTTTTTTTGAATGTGACAAAAGAATAATTGGAGAAGCCATTTCAAATAAAGTTCTTGAAGGTTTTGAGAAACTGTTCTTAGATATGCTATTTTGTCAAGGCCAGGGATACAATGGGGCTGGCAAGATGGCAGGCATATGTTCTGGGGCAGCTGCAAGAATTCAACACAGGTATCCAGACGCACAATATGTTCATTGTGGGGCTCATATTTTGAATCTTTATGTGGCTTAGGCATGTTCCATTCAAGTTGTAAGTAACATGATGGGACAAGTTTGTGCAGTATCAGAGTTTTTCAACAACAGCCCAAAGCGTTTTTCTCATTTGGAGGGTAAAATAAAGGAGTTTTCCCCAACTACTTGTCACACTCACCTAATTGATGTATGTAGAAGAAGATGGTTAGCGCGAATTGACGGTCAGGTTATATTTAACAAAGTTTTTATGCCAATTGTTCTTTGTTTAGAAGCCATGACTTTCAACAAAAATCGTTCTTGGAATGCTGATACAGTAAGCGATGCCAGCAGTTTCTGGATCACTTGATCACACAAATACAAACCCGTTTTTCCAACAGGAACATCACTGTTTTGAACAGTTTTTATGCTTTCCCATCAAAAGTTGTTTCAGCAGTCGACTGGACAAAGAAGCTGATGATCTTTTTAAAAGAGAGATGTGTGGGCTGACTTACCTGAATCATGCTACCTAAGTAACGAACTACGTATGTGGGAAGACCATTGTTCTCGAATCGAGGGCAAGCCAGCCGATCTTCTTCCTACCACTGACAAGATCTCTATTCCTAATATATATACTGCAATGCAAATCCTGGCAACACTGCCAGTGATAACTTGCACTTTTGAGAGGTCGATCTCAGTTTTACGACGAATTTGCGTAGCACTATGACTGCAAATCGAATGAATGGCCTTGCTTTGCTACATGTGTATAGAGACATTGAGGTAGATACAGACGAAATATAGAGACATTGAGATAGATTCAGATGAAAAAATTTGTCATTTTGCTTCATGACACCCTCGACGCATGAAGCTCCTTGACATTCTCAATACTGATCCAAAGTAAATAGATAATGCAATTTTGTTTCAAATTAATCGTGCAGCTTTGAGTATGTTAGTAAAAATGCTCAAGAAAGTTAGAAATAGGGTCATATCGATTTTTTTATCATAAATCTCTTTTCTAAGGGAGCTGAACAATATTTTAAGGTTTTGTAAATACATTTTAAGGCAGCTGCTTTCATGAAATGGGTCTCTTAAAATGAAAGTTAACCTGAGTAAACATATGTAATCATATTTGAGGCTATTTTAGGCCAGGAAATTAATCGTAGTGTTTTAAAAGCTATTCGTTATCAAATTTGATTGTTCTTCGAGAACAGAAAAGGCGAATTATAAAAATGTTCTTTGTATAAATTTCGGCTTACAAATATGGACTGATGAGTTCCCTTGTGTTCAAATTTGATTTAAAGTAGTGAAAATAATTACAAATTTGAAAATCAGCATTGACATTTTTGTTGTCTTCTCTTGCTACGATTTTGCCCCATTTTAAGGAAGTGTTCATACAAATAATGGTAGTTCTACCTTTAGGGTGCATTCCTCCTCTCTTAAAAAAATGATACCAAGGCGTGCCATAAAAAAGAGTGTGGTCATATGATATGACTTTGCAACAGTCAATTTTTTATCTGGATCCACGCCTGACAAGCTTCATTAATTAGAACATAATCATGGTGCAAAACTAAAGAATCTTCTTTTATGATAGAGCTTCAAACTTTTTCAGAAGGATAACATTAAAAAAAATTGAAACAGCAGATACCATTTCCATGCATGTGTTTAAACTGGGAGTTCAAAAATTGTTAAAAGAGTCACTAGTCACAGGTTTAATTTAAAAAGTATTCAATTCTATGCAGTCTTTTAATATTCTATAAATATTTCATGCTCCATGCTGAAAACAATAAGTTGCCTTAAACTTTTTCAATGCATCTGTTGGCCCAATAAGGGTAGTTGGATACAGGACCTAGAGTGTTGTTGCATGTTGGACTGTGAAATGTCATCATTTTTGGAAAAGAGAATGATGTTGCTGGCCCTGATGGTTGCAGAAACTTCAATTTTACTTCTTTTGTCACTTACGTTTTTTGCATAACACATCTAATACCCTCATACTCACAGGTTACATGAGCAGAAATCATCTCCCATTTTTGAAAAAACGAAACAAAACTAAATATCATTTAATTTTATGCAAAATAGTTCTATTTGCTATGCAACCTCAAAGTGAGTAGAATCCTCATGTTCCTTCTTTCATTTGTTCTTGTTTTGATTTTCTGGCGAAGTTCTTTCCAGTAATGCTGACATTTTCAATTGCTACATTTTCAAATGCAAGCTTTTTGCAGCCAAAATTATTACTTGTAACTTAAAACATTTCCTGTTGCTTCAAGCAGTTTTTTGTGTCCATTTAAAGAACTCAATTTCAGTGATGCTTTTCTCCCTTGTAAAATTGCCATTTATTGGTGAATCTTGAAAATGGCTACAACTTTTCCAACTTTGAAGATGAACAGTCTGACTTACTGTCTGCTGACTAGGTGATGGTTTTATATTTTTCTTCTAAATTTTGTATTATTATCTTCAATATACTCCTTTTTCAACCGTTCTTCAATATTCTCCTTCTGCCCTGCATGCAAAGCAGACGATCCACTCATTAAAACAAGGCAAAATGGGACAACTTAAAACATTTCCTGTCGCTTTGAGCAGTTTTTTGTGTCCATTTAAAGAACTCAATTTCAGTGATGCTTTTCTCCCTTGTAAAATTGCCATTTATTGGTGAATCTTGAAAATGGCTACAACTTTTCCAACTCTGAAGATGAACAGTCTGACTTACTATCTGCTGACTAGGTGATGGGTCTATATTTTTCCTCTAAATTTTGTATTATTATCTTCAATATTCTACTTCTTCAACCGTTCTTCAATATTCTCCTTCTGCCTTGCATGCAAAGCAGACGATCCACTCATTAAAACAAGGCAAAATGGGACAACTTAAAACATTTCCTGTCGCTTCAAACAATTTTTTGTGTCCATTTAAAGAACTCAATTTCAGTGATGCTTTTCTCCCTTGTAAAATTGCCATTTATTGGTGAATCTTGAAAATGGCTACAACTTTTCCAACTCTGAAGATGAACAGTCTGACTTACTGTCTGCTGACTAGGTGATGGGTCTTATATTTTTCCTCTAAATTTTGTATTATTATCTTCAATATACTCTTTTTCAACCGTTCTTCAATATTCTCCTTCTGCCTTGCATGCAAAGCAGACGATCCACTCATTAAAACAAGGCAAAATGGGACAACTTAAAACATTTCCTGTCGCTTCAAACAATTTTTTGTGTCCATTTAAAGAACTCAATTTCAGTGATGCTTTTCTCCCTTGTAAAATTGCCATTTATTGGTGAATCTTGAAAATGGCTACAACTTTTCCAACTCTGAAGATGAACAGTCTGACTTACTGTCTGCTGACTAGGTGATGGTTTTATATTTTTCTTCTAAATTTTGTATTATTATCTTCAATATACTCCTTTTTCAACCGTTCTTCAATATTCTCCTTCTGCCCTGCATGCAAAGCAGACGATCCACTCATTAAAACAAGGCAAAATGGGACAACTTAAAACATTTCCTGTTGCTTCGAGCAGTTTTTTGTGTCCATTTAAAGAACTCAATTTCAGTGATGCTTTTCTCCCTTGTAAAATTGCCATTTATTGGTGAATCTTGAAAATGGCTACAACTTTTCCAACTCTGAAGATGAACAGTCTGACTTACTATCTGCTGACCAGGTGATGGGTCTATATTTTTCCTCTAAATTTTGTATTATTATCTTCAATCTTCTACTTCTTCAACCGTTCTTCAATATTCTCCTTCTGTCCTGCATGCAAAGCAGACGATCCACTCACTAAAACAAGGCAAAATGGGACAACTTAAAACATTTCCTGTTGCTTCGAGCAGTTTTTTGTGTCCATTTAAAGAACTCAATTTCAGTCATGCTTTTCTCCCTTGTAAAATTGCCATTTATTGGTGAATCTTGAAAATGGCTACAACTTTTCCAACTTTGAAGATGAACAGTCTGACTTACTGTCTGCTGACTAGGTGATGGTTTATATTTTTCCTCTAAATTTTGTATTATTATCTTCAATATACTCCTTTTTCAACCGTTCTTCAATATTCTCCTTTTGTCCTGCATGCAAAGCAGACGATCCACTCATTAAAACAAGGCAAAATGGGACAACTTAAAACATTTCCTGTTGCTTCAAGCAGTTTTTTGTGTCCATTTAAACAACTCAATTTCAGTGATGCTTTTCTCCCTTGTAAAATTGCCATTTATTGGTGAATCATAAAAATGGCTACAACTTTTCCAAATCTGAAGATGAACAGTCTGACTTACTATCTGCTGACTAGGTGATGGGTTTATATTTTTCCTCTAAATTTTGTATTATTATCTTCAATATACTCCTTTTTCAACCGTTCTTCAATATTCTCCTTTTGCCCTGCATGCAAAGCAGACGATCCACTCATTAAAACAAGGCAAAATGGGACAACTTAAAACATTTCCTGTTGCTTCGAGCAGTTTTTTGTGTCCATTTAAAGAACTCAATTTCAGTGATGCTTTTCTCCCTTGTAAAATTGCCATTTATTGGTGAATCTTGAAAATGGCTACAACTTTTCCAACTTTGAAGATGAACAGTCTGACTTACTGTCTGCTGACTAGGTGATGGTTTTATATTTTTCTTCTAAATTTTGTATTATTATCTTCAATATACTCCTTTTTCAACCGTTCTTCAATATTCTCCTTTTGCCCTGCATGCAAATCAGACGATCCACTCATTAAAACAAGGCAAAATGGGACAACTTAAAACATTTCCTGTTGCTTCGAGCAGTTTTTTGTGTCCATTTAAAGAACTCAATTTCAGTCATGCTTTTCTCCCTTGTAAAATTGCCATTTATTGGTGAATCTTGAAAATGGCTACAACTTTTCCAACTTTGAAGATGAACAGTCTGACTTACTGTCTGCTGACTAGGTGATGGTTTTATATTTTTCTTCTAAATTTTGTATTATTATCTTCAATATACTCCTTTTTCAACCGTTCTTCAATATTCTCCTTCTGTCCTGCATGCAAAGCAGACGATCCACTCATTAAAACAAGGCAAAATGGGACAATGGACAAGTGAAAACAATCTATGGAGACAGTATGTGCAATAAAAGGGAAAATGTCTGGAAAAGTCAGCCATTTTTTGAAAAAACAAAACTGCCTGCTGCCAATATTTTGTTGACCTTTGCAGTTTTGACAGCTGGAGTAACATGGGAAAAAGTTGAGAGAGTGTTTCGCCACATAGGAATGACTCATATTTCAAGGTCAGTATACTTTCAGCATCAAAATATAATGAGTAGGATGTTATAAAAAGCAGGAAAAGATATTTCCAGCAGTTTTTTGTTTTGGAAAGAATATCAAAAAAATCAGATGGAAGAGCTGAATGGGTGTGAACATCGTTTGAAAATGAGCTCAAGATGGCAGGCATGATAGTATGGGGCACAGTGCTAAATATGGGGCATATTCCCTGATTTCTTACAATCAACCAGCTATCATACATTTCGAACTGGTACAGTTATGTGATCCTTCATGAGTTGATATTTATAATGTGTACAGCTAGTTTGTACCAAAATCTTATAATGATCTTGTTCAACATTTTGTAGCAGGCCTTTTTGGTATGTGTATTTATTGCTGGTAAAGTTCCTTGAAGAGTTCCTTAACTTGGACTGACTGACTAACTAACTTATTTTTAGAGAAATGAAGTTGGAAACAACACTGGTCTTGAATATGAAGGATTCAAAAGATGCTTCAACTGGTTGAAGAAACACAACTCGAAACTGAAACCTTTGTTTCTGACAGGCATGCCACCATTGCCAAACACATGAGAGAAGAAGAAAGAAAGATAAAACGTTATTTTCATCTTTGGCATCTTAAATATATGTCTCCATAAACATACAATTAGCCAATACTGTCTGCTCCATCTATCAAAGCATATTTGACAAGTGTCAAGAAACGTTTTTTGTTGCCTAGACACATCTAATTATGACATTTTGGAAAAAGTTAATAAAACCTACATGAGAGATAAAACCAGGACAAAAAACAGGCTGGAAAACTATTAGATATTCTAATTTTACAGCAAAGTAACAAAAGTAGTAATATCAAATAAAAAGAATTGCTAAAAGCAATGTTTCAGAGATTTTAGCTTGCTTTGTTAGTTTGAAATTAAAGAAATTAAAGGTTTTAATTTATAGTCAATTCCTTTTAGAAATAAGACTCTTGACAAAATTGCAAAAACTGTAGGCTGTTCTGGAGTTTCTGACTGGATTCAGCCCTGCATCAACCACCTGCATTGGAGTGCAGTCACAACACAAGGTGGTGATGGAGCCTTGATAATGACAATGTTCAAATCCTTTTGATCGCATATTATTGAAGTACATGATAAGTGACAGAACATGGCTTGATAAAGGTATTGCAGTCATTTATTGTTTTCAAATATTTGGGGTATCCATTTCCAGTATATCTATCCAACACCCCCCTCCCACCACCAATTAGAAGCTCAAATGCTGGATTCAAACGAAGTTTGAACATCATATTTATTTCCATTTTCACTTAGTTGGTTTATTTTTTTGCATTTACTGATTCTTCCCCATCTATATTCCCTGCTTCTGAACATGCCTGCTTTTCTAATCTTCTTATTGAATTTGACTGATAAAGAAATTGTTTCTTCTTCATTTAAGAATCTCCGGCATATAAAAAATTGAAAGCTGCATTGACGAATACAAGATTGATGAATGGAATCAAACAGGCAGAACCTCTCACACAAACTAGTTGCATAGTGGCATTCCACTCAGTCCTGAACCATTTTGCACCAAAAATGATAGGTTTCTCTTATGACGGGTTTCCACTTTGGCGAATCTGGTCACACGATCGCATGACTGTTCTGGGCATGCACAAGTAAACCAGTAGCAGTGATTCCCCATTGCCCTGGCGATCGCGCGACTGCTTTTGGGAGTTGAATAGATTTTGACTTTTCTGCGACCAGATTCTCACGAACCAATTAGACGCTTTGTTTACTTGTCTGGTTTATGTAAAATGCCTCATTGTTTAAGGTTTATTGTTTTCTTTGGCGCTTATCCAAAAAATCAACTCCACGATCTTCTACGCTGAGAAAAAGTATCTTGAAAAAGTATGGAAAAAATAACAATTAAGCCAGAAGTCATGTTGATTTTACGCCAGTTTCAGCAAAGTCAATCTCCTACAAAAAATTCAAATTATCTTGCGTTTGAAAATGAAAGCACGGGCGATACAATTGTCGAGGAAGAGACGGAATCTCAGACGGAATGGTCTGAAAATTATTTATTGAGGAACTTAAACAATATCGTTGTTTTCACATTTTCACAGAGAAATCAAAGTTAAATTCTAGGAATCTTAGGAATACATCAACTGACCTAAGGCTACCAAAGAAAAACTCCAAAAATGGACAGAAATGCTTTTCGTTTAGAGGTGCTAGGTCTTGGAATGGCCTTTCAGCTGAGTGTAAACAGGCATCTTCCTTGACCAACTTCAAAAGAATTTTGCGAAATTGTTAATAGGCGTAATTGTAAATTGTATATTGGAAATTACCATTTCGCCTTTCGTTATAGATATTTGTAGTAAAATTAAACTCAAGTAAAATAGGATTTTTTTAGATGGTAAATATTGAATTGTAATTAGCCTAATTAGTTTTTATAATAATTTCTGTAAGTATTTTAAGTGGAGGGCCCCTTGAAAATCAGCATTGCTGAAGGGCTACCCTCCTTAAACATTTGAAATGAAATGTAATAAAATGTTTCTGGGATACTTCATGCCGTTCTTATAAAGGTGGCCCTAAAAAGCAGCAATCTTGGCAGGAACTGAGTCAGAAATTTGAAAAAGAGGGTAACTTTTGATTTTTTTCTTCAATTTTCATGACATGTTTAGGCCTACTCTACACAATGTAAAATCGTACTTCCTTCTGCATTTCATCAGTTTTCACAGCCTTTTGGCTCCCTTCCTTTGTCATCGTTTGTATTTTGTTTTCAATGTGTGTTTCTGGCTCACTAACATTGAATTTTAATGACAAACATACTTTGCAGCATCTATTATACATACATACATACATACTATCACTAAAAGATCGAAAACGTCGATATTGAGTTCTAAGGATTTGCATTTTTTCGAATTCTGATTAATTTGGAATTCTGATTTTCCGAGGACACCTTATAGAAAGTTTGGAAAAATCTGAATGGTTCTTCCTGAGAGTCCTCAGGAAAAATGGTTCTTCCTGAGAGTCCTGCCAGCAGGACCCACCCCAGTAGGAGGTAGTAGATCCAAATCAAACTCCGGAAAAAGGAAATTGAAAAACCTTTATCGATTCCTATTATGCCATGCTAATTGAAGCCCTGAAGGATGATGGTGTACCAAAGGCAAAGGTGTTTGATGCAGACGCTAGCTTTGCAGAAACATTGTACCAATTTTGAAGAAGCTCCCAGACAAGCAGAACAGACAAGCAGAACAGACAAGCAAAAATCAAAATACAACAAATTCTTCAAACATGTAGAAAATAATTTTCTCACGTCATCTTAGTCCTCGTTATTAACAAATATATTTATTTCTATGCATCATTTATATATAAATTAGGCTGGTTCTCCGAAAATTTAAGTCTTTTCATTGAAGCTGTCCTGTCTGTCCCTTGCATAGAAATGGGCCTAAGTAAGGCTACATTACTTGAAAACTTGAAAAATATTTATGCTGAATATTGCTCACCATTGGTCTAAAGAAATAGCCAATTTCAAGTGCTTTTCGAATTCATGGTACCTCTTCTGATTAGATACCTTTTAGCTCGATAGTTTCGCAACCATTCCTCCTCAGCTAGTGGTTCATCAGCATACTGCTCAACCCAGTCGGGATCACTGAAACTGTTGATTTCAGAGGTTGTAATTGGGCCAGAGATGTCCATATATTCGACCTCAGACTGTAAGAATGTTGTTAGTTGTGCAACTGTTGTTACATAGAGTAGATACAAGGTGCCCATGAGGTGACAACGAGATTATTTCACAAATGGCTTGATAGTGCTTTTCCAGTTTTTTTTACAACTGCTACACAGTTTTTCACTGTAAGTCAGTCGCACTATTTCATCTACACCTGGTTGTGTCAGCCAGTGGTCACATTGGAAAGGGTGGCCTAGGCCAAGGTAGGCAAGAAATCACGACAATGGTAGTAACAAATTGCTTCCAATCTTATCCAAAGAGGATCATCAATTTAATCAGACAAATCCAAAGCATACTAATAATCAAATTTTTCAAAATTCTAATAACTCAAAAATGACAATTGCAGTTGCCTTTCCAGAAAGCAGCGATTGGTGTTGTTTTGTGCTACGGAATCAATGAAATTTGGTTCTAGTTTCCACCTCACGAGCAATTACCCAGGTCTCAAGAGACAAACACGGTTTAGTGCAAATTTGAGCCCCATTTGGTGGTGGTTTTACTTTTTTTCTAAAGGCCTGATGAAATTTTAATGGCTGTATCCGTAATTAGCATGTTCTAATTGTACATTAAGCCTATTTTTAGATTCGACCATAGTTCCACTTTAAAAGAAAAAAGGAACCTGATTTGAACATTCAATACTCATAGGGTATAAATAATATGATTTACAAAAAGAAAATAGAATAATCCTCATCAATATTGGCCGGAAAAGTCCATCTGGTTGTGGGAATGGGGAAGGCAGCAGTTTGTGGCAAACTTCCAGTGATAGCAAGCTCAGGTCGTGTAAGCTGTCGGAGGAAAGTTGTTTATGGTTGTTTGCAGTTTCTCCATCATTTTCATTTTTTAGCATCCGCTTCCTGTATCTGTGAAGCAATTTCTGTAAACACCGCCTGGCCTGTTTAGATAACCTCTTTTTGAAATATATATAACGAGTTCCGATGGCTGGAAGGCCACCAAATTTTCGTGACTTTGATTCTTGAAACTCCGATTGGCTAAGATTGTCTTCTGGTAAAGAGTTGTTCAGCAGATTGCTATTTTCAGTTATATACTTGTCACTAGCTCTACCATTCCCACCATTAGTGATGAATAAAATTACACCTTGGGGCAGATGCTAATTATAAATTTGACAGTGTTGTGATGTTTATATGATAACCAAATTTAGACATGAGCTTTGAGGTTAGATATTAAATTTAAAACTCAAAGCAATCCAATATAACTGCAATTTTTGTCTTAAATAATCTGCAAAAATAGGGTTCCTTCAATAAGTTGATCTCTCTCAGGTTATTTTATCATATTCTTTATTCTGTAAAATGGGACATCTATCTATTTGTGAAATACCTTTGACACTACTCCATTTGATATATAAAAACCTGTAAGCAACATCTTTCGCATTAAGCTTCATCCAATGTTTGCTCAGAGTAAGGTTCGTTTCTTGAAAGCGAGCTAAAGCAGCATTTGCACTAACTGTTATTACTTGTAAACAAAATTTAAAAAGTAGCACGAGGAACTTCTGATTTGTAAGCCCTGTGTATAAAAGGGCCTTTTAGTCAGAGTTTTAGTCAGGTTTCTAAATTCCCTTTTGTGTTGTTCTAGCCACGATGACGTTTTTGTCTTTGTAATCTGCAAAACTTTCAATTGAAGATTGCTTTCTCTTACCTGGACCTTTGCAGGTATCAACAGAAATTATTTCAGGAGAAGAAGGGAGGAAAGTTAGAGGACAGAAATGCTAGTTTTGCGACTGAATGGCACAACCTCAATAGAGTTCTAAAGTGTGACGTCACCAAAAACCTATTTTTAGAATTTTTGAATTTTCCCACATAACATAAAAGATCACCATGAAATAATTCCAGGTATGCAAAATTAGTCAAATTTGTCCAAAATCAGTTGAGATATTGCAAATTAAAGATTTGAAGTTTGCTAACGAATCACTGATACTTTTGCTCTTTTCATAAAGTTATGAACAGAGACCAAAATACAGAGGTTTAATTGGGAAAGAGCTAATACACATGTGGCCATATCTCAGCCGATTCGTAACACATTTGGCTGATTGTGCATATTTAGAGGTATTTCATGATGCTCTTTCAGGCTATTTGAGCCAAATTCAAAAATTGTAAAAATAGATTTTTAAGACATCATCACTTTAGAACTATAAAAAGCATTGGTAAGGATTCGTCTTTCAAAAATAGTATGTAGCTAGTTTCACTCATTCAACTTGAATGATTGTTTTCATGACTTACCCATAGCCCTTTGCTTGCAACAGATTTCGGAGAAACTTGAGATGGGCTTAGTGTCTATGGCTACCGTAAAGTTACGACACACTTGCAGCAGATCACGTTATATAATAAATCAGGCTAAAGTTCAACATTACTGACTAAAAATTAAGTTGACCCATGGGGCTTATTAATTTGCAATGTTTTTGCAACATAAAAATTGTGTTGTGGTGAATATGCTTTGTTTGTTTTAGTTTCTTGTTTATAGATGTTCATTGGCTTAATCATGCATTGTAAAATTTAACATGTAGGGGTAGGTTTCTTTTACTTCCTAGTAGGGGCTAATTGGATGGGGCATATACAGGGGGGGGGGGCAATTCGATTATATTATTAGATCTCTCTGAATTTTTGTGAGCACTTAAACTGGATAATTTTTTGCTGGCAAAGGAAATATAAAAATAATAAAAACAATAATAAAAGCTTTGCCATTTTCAGAGGTTTATCAAATATTTGTATCCACAACTCAATTAAGAAACAAACAAAAAAGGCAGAGGGTAGACACTATTAAAACGTTTTCTGTCTGTACCACCAATTTTATAATACTTTATTGTTAACTTTTCACTTTTACTTCATCTGAGGTGCAAGTTTGGTAATTGCAATTTGATTCGACTTGCAAAACCAAAAGAATGTTGCTGTTGCAGTGACCTTGCGGCTGTCAATGTTTGTCTTTCAGACAAATAAATTCTGGCAGATCTCAATGATGTACCAAAATGTGTAACTGAGCACCCAGCATTTGAACCAGTAATTCTTGGTAAATGGTCTCTAAGGCAGGCAGCAGATCGATACAGGACAAGAGCAAAAAGCCATTACAAAAACACTTGTGATGAAAATTAGTATGTACAACAGTTTCTAGATGGTTATTGTAGTTGCATACATTGGTTATTAAAACACATACTGAAGAAAATTTAAAAGTAAAGCTTATATATCAAATCTATCTTGGCAAGTTTTGCAGAACTTAACTTCACAAAGCCTTCTGAATGTTTTCCAATAAAACAGTGTCTGTTGATGCAATAATTTTTTAAATGTTGATTTCTGGACAGAAACTAACAGTTCGTTATTTTAATTCTTTTTTAGATTTCTTCGTGCTATCTCCTATAGAGAACAAGGCTGGTGCATGGCAGCATAGGAAACAAAAGAATCCCTCTCCCAGCCTGTGCTTACAACAAAATCAGGCAGAAATTTCCTTCTGAAGAGATGACAGGCCATGAGTCTGATAGTGACTGAGTGGCAGACAACGTTATTTTACATTTTTAACCAAAGTTTGGTAAAGGTCTGTAAGATCAATCAGACAATGTAAGCTGCTTCAACACTCTTTGATGATTTATGGTCAAGACAAAAAAAGAATTGAGTTCCGCATAAAAGCAAACTTATGTTACCTGAAAGGCAAACCACTTCTGAGTTAGTTTTAGCAAAATCCAGCTTTTTTCTGACTCAGTTAAGGGATTTATTTACTGTTTTTTGGACATGTCAAAATGTTTTGGTGACCTCTCATTGAGTTATGATAGATAGAACATTGAGGGGGTGCGCGCCGATTTTGCTGTTGTTTCTGGCTCGCTTCATCAACTGAAAAGATAGAAAAAGAACGATTCATATAGTTAGAGCTTTCATTGATTATCATGGTAAAATGTTAAAAATATGGTTGAAATCTGCTTTCACAAATAAAGCAAATTTTGTACCGTGTGTTGTTGGAGCCGGAACAGTCACTGCTGATTATTGGGCAAAATGCTTCTCAATGGCAGCGAACCTATCTTCCTTTCTTATTGTTGCAGACATTGTATCAGGGGCAAGTTTATTTGAATGTTCAACTGTAGCATCCAGGTTGTTAGCAGCTATGGCATCCACTAATGTCTCATAAATATCAGGGAGGTAATCTATGTTTGGGAATACAATGGCAGTACTAAACTATTGTGTTACCTATTTTCATTGCTGATTCTATTGTTTGAGTGTATTCTGGATTTTCAAATATAATTAATGAATTATTCCAAATTGAGATATGACTATTCAATGAATATACAGAATTATATGCTAGTGATCTTCAAATGCTCATACCAAATCTTTGTTTCACTTTGACTTCCTTGACAGTTGCTTCTCTATTATTGAATTTTGGGTAGGTGACCTTAACTTGCGGTGTACCAGATCCATCCTGTGTTGTTCGTACATCACCTGCAAGTTTAAATTGAAGTGAACAATGGCCAAAATATGTCTTAATAATATAAGAATATTTAAGCGAACGAAAGGGTATAAATAATGATCATGCCACTTTAATTATCTCAACACATTCTTGAAAAGTGATATATCACAAGGTTAAATATATGTGTTTAATTCAACCTACCTAATCAACATTCCTGTATAACTAAAAGCAATCATTTTTAGAGCAAAATTGTTCAATACTGAGGGAAACTCTCGAGTGCACTGGTCTGCAAAAATGGAGATGCCTGTTTGATCCCATTTTGAAGGCTCTTCTTGGTCAAGACCTGCCTCAGCTTTCCATATACAATTGTATCTGTCCTGTAGAGAGGTAGTGCATAAAAACATGCACATGTGTCAAATTTTTGTATATTAATCATATGGTAATATCTAATAGAAAAACAAGTTGGCAATATAAGTATGCTATCTAATATAGGAAGATTTACCCTTCAAGCAGTCAAAGTAACTTGTTTAATATCTTCTAGGGGAGAGCCTAGTGTCTGTATTAGATTCCTTTAAGGGAAAAGAAAGATAAAAAACAGTTACCATATTTGACAAGTTTTTGGTATAATTTCTCTAGGTAGACAAAACAAGACCAAATCAAACATTTTACCTTTTTCTAGCCATTTTCTCTCTTCAATGTCGTCTCCATGTGCACAATAGTCAAAAGTGGATCTTCAAAACCAGTATGCTCATCCAAAATGTTCCAAAGGAATGAAACAAATTTTGCCCAGATGATATCTCCATTGCCATCATGTGTTGATGTAGCACTACAGTACAAATGCCTTTCGCAAGCTTTGATCCAGTCTGCTCCATTACATTTGATCCATGACAAGTCTCCACAGTCTTTGGTATTTTAAATGCGAAGAAGAATCTTTCAAATTTTTTAACATAAATGAGAAGATTCCTTAAGTTCAATTAGCAATTATTGTCTTATGTTCAAGGAAAAGGCTAGGGTTGCTGAACTACAATATAATATTTACTTTGCATTAAGTGGACTAATTGAGGATTAACGGTGGAGTGAGATTGGCTTATTTGGCAATGGAAATTAGCATAATCATAAAGCAACTTGGACTGGAAAAATCATTCTGCATAGAGACCATTATTGCACAGAGTGTTGGACTCTAGTGACCAATTTGCAAATAATCTCTAAACAACACCTACTTTTTTTAAATGCCAAATACCAAAATAATGGGAGACATCTTTTCGCTCCTCTCTGAAGTATTTTGCGATAGACAAGTGTCTGTCAGAGATGAATGTTGTCACATCAAGTCCATTGTTCTCTAGAAACTGAAAGCTTCGCTTGAAGCCCTCCAGCTCCATGGCAGTACTACTTCCAACCTCAATGTGCTTTTATTGAGTATAAAAGATAAATACTGTGGATAAAAGAAAACATCAGAAATTAAAAATTAGCTTTTATGTTAAAATGTTATAATGAGCTGTGATGTATTTTGTTGTTATCAAAGAGGAAACTGAATCAGTTAATGTATAAATGATGAAATAAAGAATTTACCACAAATTTTATGATTTTAATTATTTTATACTCACAGAATAGTTGATAGTCATTGAACCATATAGTCAAAGTTTTCTGTGAACACCATTTGTTAGAATCAAGAAAAAGAAAGATACCTGAACAAGAGAAACGTGTATGATTTGTGATGTATTGCAGCAGAATAGGCTGTAAGCTCCAAACTTGGCACTATGACCCATACTGTCATGCCTTCCATCCCCAGAAACCACCAGTTGTTCTCCAGATTCTGTTTATGATGAAACCATTCTCTTTTTGGGTATCTATCCAGTATTGGTAGACCACTGGGAAAAGCCAGTCCTAAAAAGTGAAGGGGGACATTGTTTCTTTTTAAACCACCTCACGTTCTTGCAAGTTATTGCATTTCGTTTCTACACACAAACAGCTTGTCATCCAAATGTAAACAGTGAGCAGGTTTTTAAAAATGTAAATACTGTTCACCTTTTGATGTTTGAAAAATGTTGATAACGAGATGCAGACAAGACCCATATGATTAAAGATGTGTGGAACCTTAGTAGCTGAACCACCACCAACAAGTATTGCAAAAAATAAAAGGAGGTTTGCAGCAGGAATCTTTGTGCAAGGAAAAAGGAGTTGACTTTGCCTTTTTTTTCATTTCCTAAACAGTCTTCATTCTGACAAACAGTCTTCACCTCAATCATAGTTCCAACTCTCTGCATGGTAGTTTTTGGGTCATCTGATTTGCACAGAGGGCAGAATCTGAACAGAAGAAGAAGCTGCGATAAGAAGACAATAAATTTGGGTTCCTTTTGATGATCAGATTTCTCCTCACTGAAAAATGAAACAAAATCCAGATGAGCTGAAGAGTGAGGAATGGTTACATTGCAACATTTGCTCTGATAAGTACTGAAAAAATCTACCTTTATAACACAATGTTTGGACCAGCATTTAATAATATTCCCCAGATTTTAGGATTTTGAAAAATCTTGATGTTTTGCCTTTCAAGCTCTTAAAAAGACTGATTGAAATCAAATTCATATCATTTTACAACCTTATGTCATCATCACTTCCCATCATATCCAACAGCTTGGGACTCTGTTTCTTCCTCGACGTCAAAATCGTCCTCTGATTCAGAGATATCCTCCATTGATTACACTGGTGACTCTAAATTGGCAAAAGACGCGCACTAAGATCTGTCGGCATTTCTGACCTCTTCAACTTCAATAATATTCCTAAAAATGAAAAATTCCAGTCTTGTTGAAACCAGGCAATATAAATTTTCATAATTTGTTATTGCAAAAAAGGCTAATAATTGTTGCAGATGTATTTAAAATATCTTTATCCCAGCAAATAATTATATTAATTTTTATCTTGGAAGTTGCTATTTTCATTATCTTCTCACTCAAAGCAAATATTGATCCTAATCATTTTGCATTTATTGATACTAGTTTTTCTTTACTTACCATTTTTAGTCTCAATTTCTTCCTTAAGTTTATGAACTTCAGACTTCTTGGCTATCCACATGTTGCGTGTTCTCCTGTGTCTGCTCAAAAGCCATTTACAACTTACACAACCAGGCGTCTGACTTGCAAAATCCTCCATCTATAAAAAGAGGAAGTCTACATGTAAATGTAATAATTCAAAGCATTGTGCTTGGCATATATTGTCATTTCGACTTCTAGTGAAAGAATTTCAGTCCAAGAGGTCACATATGAAGCAACGCAAGTCATAAAATCGTCAAAAATCACCTCTGGTAATTCATTCAAACATGCATGCATACACAAAGACAAACATTCATTTCTGTAGGTTAACTTCTCAACAACAAAATATCCACCTTGGTGCTATTTCCATCCTGTGCTAGATTGTTTGATTATCATGTTCTATGTATTCATCTTCGGTATTATTATCATCATCCTCATCATCACCATCAAAGTCCTCTTCTTGTTCCTTGTTGGCTTTTTTCATTGCATTTCTAATGAACTGCAAGAGAAAAAAGAAAGATTATTTCAAAACTTGAAGTAATTTAGCCAAGAGTTACACTAGAATCTAGAAAGAAGCATGCTGACAATGTTAATGCTAAGGGTTTACTGAACCATGCCAAAAAAATAAATTCCTGCTCAAGCATAACATGAATTTAACAATGTTTTTTTGAAGTTTTACCAAATTTGTAGCTGTATCCTTTGAAAAACTATCAAAATACTGACAGCTTCTATCCAAAATTAGAGTCACCCTGCTGATAGGATACCATTTTAATTTTTTGGGGGAGGTTCTGCCAAATTCATTCCATATTAGAAGAGCTCAAAAATTCAAATAAAGAAATTTTGCAATTGAAACACACTAAGTATAGCTTTAGTGCTAATATTAACTATAAATATTTGATGGACTGCAAATATTGGCATGAATCTAACATATGCTTTTGTAAACATTTTTTTATACAGATTATAGAACATTTTTATCAAGATATGGAATACTTGTACCGTGTGCCAAAGTGTACGATGAGTAAAATTATCCCAGAGACGTGTGAGGCTATATATGAAAGTCTGAAAGACGATTACTTAAGGGTAACATAAAACGTCTGAAAGACGTTACGATAAGCTTAGTTATTGAATTTTTTCAAGAGAAAGTCTTTCTGTTTCCCAAAAAGGTTTTTAAGAAGATTTTGATGGTTTTTATGACCATTTGTAATTCTCTTATATTGTGGGATTTGATCTCCTAAAGACTTGCTAGATTCTGCTGTACTTAATTCATTTAAACAGAAAACACATTATTTGTAGGCTACAAAATAAGTTAAATTCTTTTTCATCCATTAGACACTGGCAGGAAAGTGCTACGGTTTGGTGTTATACCCACAGAGAACTTGCCAGAGAAGTTCCACCCATTGAAGCCGATCAAAGAATACAAACATACAAGTGTAGTTCAAGACCGAGTGGTGGAACAGGCAAAAACTGATTTGTACCAAAGTTTGGAAGAAAAAGTAAAAAGGGCTGCTAAACTTAAGATTCCAGCTTGGCAACAAGAGTCAGTGAGTAACCAGCTGAGACTAAAGTTCTTTGAAGAAGAATGTATGATTCCAAAATTTGAATTGGTAATTGGCAACAATTTGACATACACATTATTCATCTATGGTTGGCTGCTGCCACAAGGTCATCCAATTTACACTGAATCTGAACAAAATTTGAAAAATATTACTGTCTCAAAGCTGATTCGAAAGATTGAGCAGCATAAGATATGTGGGGGCATTGCAAAACCTTCAAGTGAGTTACAGGCTCCTGCTATTCCTTACAAAGTCAGTTTGCAAGAAAAATCCAACCTTCCAGTGAACACAGTCATATACAACAGGCCAAAAGATTGCTTCATTCTGAGTGAATCTTCAGATCAATGCAAGATATGCTTAACAGTTGAAAGGAAGCTTACCAAAGTATTGGACAAAAAAACAACTAAGTTGTGTATCCCTGCAAAGGCTAAAGGTCCAGTATCCATCACTCACCCAAGCCGTCTCAAATTAACCCTTCAGGAACATAGACTTAAATGCAGTCAATTGCAAAAACAAATTGATGAAATGAGGCTGTCAATATAATTAAACAGTTTTTCACTTGATTCTGAATTAGACCAAGATGTGAAGCTTATTATTTCAAATGCCGGGACAAAGCTTTCACCATTTATGAAGCTTTTTTGGGAGCAGCAACAAGAAGCTTTCAATGTAAGAACAATGCTATTCGCTATCACCCAATGATAATAAGATTTTGTCTGTCCTTGGCAGCAAAATCAGCCTCAGCCTATGATGAATTGAGGGATTCAAATGTGCTGACCTTGCCAAGTAGGAGGACTTTGCGAGACTATAGGAATGCAATAACTCCTACAGCAGGATTCAATCCTAGTGTGATAGAGGAGCTTACCAGAATAACACGTAATCTTGAAGGGGTTCAAAGATATGTGGTTCTTGGTTTTGACGAAATGAAAGTGCAGTCAAAGTTAGTATTTGATAAACATACTGGATAACTGATTGGTTATGTGGACCTTGGTTATCCAGAGATCAATTTTGCCACAATTGAGAAGCAAGATAACCTAGCTACTCATGCCTTGGTAATTTATGTCAGAGGCCTTGCATCTGACCTCAAATACAACCTGGCATATTTTGCTACAAGTGGTGTAGCCTCATACCAGCTCATGCCTATTTTCTGGAAAGCTGTTTCTGTTTTGGAATAGGCCTGCAAGCTACCAGTAATTGCTTCAGTATCAGATGGAGCTTCTCCAAACAGAAAATTTTTCCGCATGCATGCCACTATGGACCAAACCCCTGGGAAACCAGTGGTTTATCGATCCATCAATATTTTTGCACCCAAACGATTTCTATGGTTTTTTGCTGATGCCCCACACCTCCTCAAGACCGCCCGTAACTGCCTGTATCATTCTGGCACAGGAAAATCTACACGTTACACGTGGAACAATGGAAAGTACCTTCTTTAGCAACACATATGCCAGTTGGTAAATGATGATATGGACAAAGGTTTGAAGCTTTGTTCAAAGTTGTCAAGTTCACACACACAGCTAACCTCCTTTGGGGTAATGAATGTGTCATTAGCTGCACAAGTTTTAAGTGCAACTACAGCAAACACACTTAAACAATTTTATGACAGTGACACACATGGGACGGCAGAATTTTGCAAAATGATGGACATGTTCTTTGATGCACTCAATGTCCGAAGCACTAAGGAAGGTCAATTTAAGCGGAAGGAGTTCCTACAGCCTTACACCAGTTTAAATGATGAGCGGTTTCACTGGCTTGAAAATGTATTTTTGAAATAATTGTCAGATTGGAAAGCAAGCACCATATGCAGAGATGGCAATTTCAGTGGAAGCGCGAGGGACAAAATGTTTCTGTCTTGGCAAACACACGAAGGCTTGCAGATCGCTGTGTATTCAGTCATTGAAGCCACTAGGTTCCTTCTAACCAGTGGAATGAAGTTTGTTCTCACCAGCCGCTTTAACCAGGATGTTGTTGAAGAATATTTCAGTAGACAACGCTTTCTGGGTCGTCGTAGTGACAATCCAGATATGCGAATGTTGGGGTACAATGATAACACAATCAGAATACAAAGGTCAATCGTACGTGTTAAAGGAAACACAAGAGGAGGACATATCCAAAAAAGACAAGTCTCATGGTCAATTGTAGATGAAACAAAATTAGCTAAAAGAAAACCTAAGTCCAGCTAGATAATGACACTTAAATTAACTAAAAGAGAAACCACAGTTTAATGCAACTAGTCTTGTTTAACATACACCAGTACTAGATAATGTAGTTTTTTTACTGTTAAAAGATTTTGTTGGGAATTGCTCTGAAAAACCACATATCATCAGATTTTCTGAAACAATTCGATTTTAAAATGTTATAATTTCAAAATTCTCTCAGCTTTGACCTGCACCTATCATTGCTACATGAAACTTGGCTCCAAGAGAATTATAAGATAACATTAATATTCTAAGTAACATATAAAACACTGAACATTTTAGCATCTTGATACACCAATATCTGATACACCAATATATTTTCCTGCAAAACACTTTGCAGTAACAGCATTGACAAATTTCCTTCAAGGAGCTACATTTAGGCTGATTTCAACTGAATAGTTTTTGGCATATAAGGTAATTTAAGTTCTCTTTCACCAAGTATTTAAACTGCACAAGTGACATAGGCTGCCATTACAATTATGTTTTGGTGCTTTGAAAACTGTGCAAGGGATCACATGTTTTGACAAAAATCATAATTTGATGATTGCCCTTTGGAGATCTATTTTTTTCTGATGGAATGTATGTAAAGTGGAGTGTATTAAAAGTTATTAAATTATATTGGATTAGAAGTTATTACTACCCCTGTAATTCCAAATATTTACGTAATGCTTTGGATTTTTTGCAATGAAGTTGTATGTTGGTTTTTGCAAATGAAAATGCCCTAACTCGCAAGTACAGCTGAATAAGTTTTTCAAGGAGATTCTTCTTTGTCTCTTTGTCCATTTCACACAGGGATCCTTCCTCCATGGCACTGAAAGAACTGACCACATCAACTCTTTCAACTAAAATTTCTGTCAGCTTGTTGCAGTTGATCTTGGTGATGTGTCCAGATTCTGTTGCCTTGCGGAACTCTTCTTCTACATAGCTGAAAAACCTACAAAATCATTGTTCACTCCCCATAAACCCCCTCTTGTTTGGCATTGTATTTGCTGTTGAGCTGAAATATCTTCCAGTCTCAATGAATTCAAAAATGTTAACATAGCTATAGAGATTTTGATTTTTGGCTGTTTGAGACTTGGTGCAGTTTCTTAACAACAGAATCCACAACATATCCTGCCAGATATTGTAAACCGAACATCTCCTGTTCAGTGATTTTCTTTGGGACTGCTAGTTGCTCTGCTAGTTGTCTTGAAATGGGAGACAATCTTGTCTGCTAGTTTAGTTGCAACCAGTGTGCACCCAGGAAAGGGTAAATTTGGGAAAAACTTTTCAGCATTCATTGCAACTGAACCATAATACTCAGAATAAAATTTCTCGGCATCTGAATTTTTCCAAAGTCTGCTGCAATGTTTCAACAATTCCGTTCTTAGGTTTTCACTTTCTTTGTCAAACACAAACATTTTAATAGCATTGCGAAGTTCAACTGGATAGCATTTATCAGTCGCAAGGTCATTCTTGGCTTCATTGACCAACTGAACGATGTCTGCACCACTGAATTGTCCAAACTTAAAGAAAAACCGAAAGTCAAATTTTGAATAATTAGCATACGATCAGTGTCAGATTAGCAGGGAATCTAGGTTGCTACGAAACTAGGTCTCTTTCCATATCTTCCAGTTTTTATTTGCAACTAATGCGAGCTAAGTTTCAATTTTTCAAGTTTTGAAATCTATAACAAAGTCTTAGTATTTCTCAAATTTTAAGATGCTTTTAGATAGTTAATATGTACGTGGCCTTTTCTTGTTGCTAATATGACCTTAAGGTTTTCCATTGGTTTGGACACGTATCTGTCAATACATTCTGTATAATATATTTTGGTAACTATGTTGCCAGGGACGGTGGAACGACTAAGGGGCAAGGGGCAGGCTTGAGTAAAAGGGCATTCGAAAAATAATTCGCAGCTACTAACAATTCGTTCGTAACCATCATTTTGTTTCGATCTCAATCAGGGGCGGCGCCGCTATCTTTATCAGCTTCACCCATTCGTTACCTACCCCACTATTTTTGGGCTGGCCGTCATGAATAAGGCAGTACCGTCAAAAACCTCTGTGAAAAGGGCACTTTGGCTACCCCTGCCCCTTCTGTCAAAAGCGACAAGGGCGGTTGACTCCCGCGCCCCTTTTTGGCGACACTGTATGTCGCAGATGGGTTTCATTCTACAATCGACTGCATGCTAAAGACTGTATGCTAAAGAAAAAATGCGTCAAGAAAGACAATTTATTGCTAAATTTAGGCTTATAATATTGGATTCATTTGCATTGAATTGCTTTTGATTTGTGCTGTTCCTACCTATCATTCATACTTGTTGCTCTAGCTCTTGATTTCCTCAGTAAGATTCCATGTTTATCTTATCTGTATTAGCATGGTTATTACAACGGCAATTACACTGGTGCAGTTTACATAGACCTAAGTAAAGCTTTTGATACCATCAGCCATTCTATCCTGGTCGACACTCTACCTGAATATGGCATCTTAGGGAAGGCTCGAGATGTGGATGTGCGATTACCTGTTCTCAACATCAGAACAGGTCTCGTTTCGAGGAAAAATCTCATCTGCGGAAAACACGGAGGAAAATTGTAATATGCAAAAATGGTGGCCAAATATCACGTGCAATGTGTTGCTGCGCTGCGATGCGTAGAGACGACACAAGAAATGCAAGATTATTACTACAAAAAAAATCCTCTACTTTGGTTTGGCATATTATTTCTATTAATCAAAATTAATAGAACCTTCAGTACATCAACAGAAGCAAGAATTATTAATTTTTTGACACTAGTCAATATAACCAACAGCTTCAACTACTTACTGCTTCAAAGCTGAAAAGACAACATCACTGGCCTATAACAATGCAGTGAACATCATACTTTTTAAATGAGTTTTATCTTGAAAACAAGGCTTGGCCACATGGGGTAGAAAAATATGGTAGGCACAGTTTTTCTTCAGCTTTAAACTGGTATAAGTGGTTTCTTCTAAAAATGTTTTCCTAGAAGTGCGAGAAGTTACGCTGAAAAATGATACTTTTTAAACAAGTTGAATCTTGAAAAAAAGACTTGGCCACATAGGGTAGCGAAATATGGTAAGCACTTTTTTCCTTCAGCTTTAAACTGGTATAAGTGGTTTCTTTCTAAAAATGTTTTCCTAGAAACACGAAAAGTTTTATTATCACGCAGTTTTGTTTTACTTATATTTGAAGGGAATCTCCCAAAATCAATTGAATACCAGCTACCAGGGTGTACAAGCACCGCGGAGCGTTGCGAAAAGTGGGGGATCTAAAAAAGTGCGATGGCTAAAACCGAGTAAAAAAGGCTTTTATGGTGGTGGTTCACTTCTAAATATTTTGTCTGGGGGTAAAAACAGATTTATAGGTCAAACGGACCTTAATCTAACACGACATAACATGCCAGCCAATCAATGATATTGGTGGATTTTCAAGAAATTTCCGAGCTCTTGCCTTTTCCAAATTTCAATGGTTTCTTAATCTTTTTCAGTACTGAAGTTTCTCAACATTTTCTGACTGCCCAGTACTCGTTTCATATAAAGAGGTTCTTTTAAAAAATGAAAGTAAAAAGGGAAGCAAGGCTTATAGGTATAGGGGTGCCGTCATAGAAGGTTACAATATACTACATATCAACTGCAATGGAATAAGGTTACTTCCCTGTATACTGGTGTTGAAATATGTCTTGAAAAATGATTCCAGGTATTCGCAGAATTCTAAAAAGTTGTTGCTGTCGCATAGAGAAATAACAGCACCATTTGTGTAATGATAGTGGCTATCCGGTAGGCAAATGGTGTTGTTTTGGATGCACAATGCTACAGACTTGTCGCTTGGGCAAATCAATACACATGCCAAAATAGGGGCTGAATCGCGAAGAGCCAACAGATGTGTTGCCAGATTGCTGACATCAACAATGCGTACGATACAGTCTGGCATGTACACCTGTAACTCGGAGTATTGGATAACCTCCTCGACCGGTAATAGGAGCTGCTGCGCCCTATACACTAATAATTTCATAGAGCTTGTTTCCCTTCGTCATTTTTTTCTTGTAAATTTTGACAATTACTGGAACAAATGTTAAAGCATCTCCCTAAAGAAGAATCTCACCACGGAGAACAGAAGAACAGGCGATTGTGGGGATAACTGTACACAAGGAAATTTGTTCTCCCCATCCCAGAAGTCCAGACTGACTCAACTGACTTGGCAGCAAATACTCAACAAAATTGCCAACCACCCGCGCCTTCACTTCCTCCTCTTTAAATCCTTTTTCTTTGCCATTTGTCGTCGCATGCCGTTTGCATCTGCATGAATAATCTTTCCCTTCTGCACTACATAAATTTTTCGTACACCTCGGACAAGATCCGGCTCTTCCTCTTCTATGTCCACGATCGAGATGAATGCATTTTTTGCAATACAGCGGCTTTGATTTTGGGACCTTAGAATTGCAGTTGGCCGTTCTTTCTTGACCCTGAAAATTGATATTTTTTAAATTAAAGTTACAATGAATGGCCTGAGGCGATAGACTGGAACTTTAGGTAATTAACAGCTTGACAAGTACTGAGGTCTGGACCCTAGTCAGGACTTCAATCACATGACCCCCCACGTTGTAAACAGGCCCAAGTATTGCTTTCACGCTTTCGTTTCGTTCATTACTCAGCAGTAATTTCATTCGACATAAATATATTATCTTGGGATTGTTTTGTCTATAGTATCATATGTTTTGTATACAGTTGGAACATGTTTGTCTCTTTCTGTATTTCACACAGCTAACTTCTTTTCCGGCATGCCCCTATACCCTGTGAGGGACATCGATCAATGAGAACCTTAACTGTCATGGAAAAAACAAAATTTTATTGGATAACGATCAAATCTATTTTGGGCACAACAAAAACCACTTGGAGTATTTCTAGGTAAAATATACTTAATAAAGTAGGTATGTAAAAAGACTAAATGTTCCAGCAACAAACAATTTAGAAAACTTGCAACTTCCAAGGGCATGGTCTTGGTTTATCTATTTATACTCGAAGATGCTAAAATTTGTTGCAACTCACATTAGTTGCATTATATGGCTTCAAATTGGCAATGGTATCCTCTTTCTCCTCTGCAATCTCATGATTATCATCACTATCCTGCTCCATGTTTATTGTTTCAAATATACTGTTTTGAGCAGTAGTCGCCAGATTGCCAACTGTGGTTTTTATGTGGCTTGAACAAATTGGACAGAATGATGCACCTTTGAGACATTTTATACGGAACAAATGGAAACATCCTTCTATCAATTGCCACTCTTCACTGGTATTTAGCAACGTACAGCCAGGCATATTACAGCAAATGAATGGATCTGGTTGACTGTTTGTGTGGTATCCGAAAGGAAAAGTATTTGGAAAGTTGGTTGAGAGATAGCGCAACATATTGCCAAGAGGAGAATTATCCAAGTCAGAATCATGAGTTTGAGACTCTGCAACTGATTTTGGCTGAATATGTAGTTCTTAGGTAAAGTGAAGTTGGAGCGAGCATTATGCTGAGATCTTTTTGATTGGAAAACTGCTTTGGCTTTTTTCTGAAGCATCGAAGCATCATCACCATCAACAGTTTGGGCTCTAATGATAGAGTGAGTGTTTTCAACAGGGTATTCGTCAGTAGTTGTAATATGCGTCTGTAAAAATCGATATAAATCTCGATTGCTTTTTTTCCAAATTAGAACGTTTGAGAGCCATACGAGTGGTGCTTTGTTTTAATGATGTCGGCGAAAACAGTAGAACAAGACCCAGACAGAAATCATTGAAGATAAGTACATGGCAAATGAGTTCAATCGAAAAACAACGCTTTAAATAGAGGATACTGGTGGAATGTAATTGTCAAGGAGGTTGAGAAGTATACCATGCAAGGGATGTTTGCATTTGCGAAAAGATTTTTTGATAAAAGGACGAATTAAAGTCCAGCCACCCTAGACAACTTCTAGGAGCAATGATGTTCTCCATGGCTTTGGCTTATCTGCTAACTTTTGTTTTGGAAAAAGACTTTCATAGATATATTTGAAGAATGAATGTAAGTTTTGCATCAAAGTTTCTTTAAAATTTAAAGAAACGTGAAGAGGACCTAACATTGGAACAGCAGCCTGCAAAGGATCGGTAAACTGTCTATCAGATGGATCGGTAAGTCATCACTTGTTCTTGGCTTTGCGTAATGATGGAGCCCTTCGTTTTCCCAGACAGGAGTGTTTGTGTTTTGATTTGCATATCTTTCTCGACAATTAACAGGAGGCTGGAAGGGACATCTAGAATAAGCAACTTTTCTTACGTGGAACTGAGCAGGCCAATCTCCAGGGATGATCAATGCATATTTTGTCATGTACTGCCTCATTTTTGTTCTTCCAAGTTCCAAGAATTTCCAAAGCCATTCTTAAAAGTCTGAAATACTTTTCAGCTGATGAATGGTAAATTCGATCAAATGAACGTTATCAAGGCATCTCATCTTCCTCACATTGTTTGACTCGCTATACATATGAGCATGAAGTCTATTACGTTCTGCCTCTGGACTAAAGAATTCTGTTGCAAACCATTCTGGCATTCGATCGCAGAAAGTCATTGCCAAGTTGTGCATTGTCTGTTCACTGGATAGTTCATTTTGAAGATTACAGACATGGACACCTGATGGGATTTGAGGAGAATTGAATGACGTTAAAGGTGTAGCCACAAATCTTCAAAGCAGTGCTACAGGGGAATTTCCAACACACACCTAAGCCCAAAACCCAGGAACCACAGCAAAAATCACAACTGGCTTTGGGCTTAAATGATGCGGTTTGCTACAATAAAATATAGCAAATCAACTCTAAATCAACTTCAAATCGACAAAATATAAATGAAACGATTAAGAAACTTACAATAATGCATATACAAAGAATAACGAAGAAACTGATACAAATTACGAAGAAACTAATAGAACAAGGTTACTGTTACTTACAAACTTTATTTCCTTGTAGCTTTAAAGGCTCAGCAAACACATAACCAAAACCACAGCATGCTGCCAAAAATACTTTTATCCCGGTCTACTTTCGTTTCTTATCCTTGTCTCTAACAGCCCCGAAAACAAGGCGTGCTTCGCTTTTATAGCTACAAACATGAAACCGAGGCTAAATCCAACTACACTACGTGTCACTACATTACTGAACCAAATGAGCAAACCAAATTTACGATGAAGCAACTAAACAGAGAAAAAACAACAATATTTCAATGCACAGGGGAAAATAGGCCCCGTGTCCCTTGATTATATATTTGCGCGTTACAAGAGGTATTGCATTTATTTCAGGGAAAATTCGACAGACAATGGTACACATGTTATTTACTTTCGATGTAGATGATTCAGTTGGGCGGCGTTTGGCATGGATTGTTGTGTAGTCATCAATGATGCAAATAATTAACCACCAATTTTCAGTAGCCCATGAAAATTGCATTATTAACTGACTTTTTTTTTATTCTGCCAACTTTTTAAATTCGTTTTCCACTGTTCGGTCCACTGTTCGGCTGGTTACGGCATTTCCCATTCTTTTTTCGGTATCAAGTCCCTCTTGCGTAGTATGACACATTTTTAAATACATACCATGGTCTTTCTGCAAATAATTACATTTTTGGCTTCGTCCATAACACAATTCATAAATAACGTTCATGGCAACATATTCATTTTTGAAACGGCGCACCGTTTCTCTTGCAAAACTCTGCAAATTTGGTTGGATCGTAAATGGTTGGCTGTTGCTTGATATGAAATTCTTTATGCATCGCCGAAACAAGCCGCTCAATCTCTAAATTGACGTTTGTTCCTGTAAGTTAAAAAAATGATAGAAAATATTTGACCGATTATAATTTTTACGCCCCCCCCCCCTACTTTCTAACAAGAATCGGAATCTGGAACTGTGTGTTTGTGTGTCCAAGCTTTGAGATCATTTCATTTTTTCATTTTCATTTTTTTCATTTTCATTTATATCAATCTATTTTCTAATACATATTACAGTACAACTAAATACAACTACAATAATAACAAATTTATTACATCAAACGAAAAAAAGATAAATATGAGACTGTAGACTGATTAAGGAGGAGCTCTCTAAATAGATAAACTAATCGAGAGAGGCCCCCCCCCCCCCCCTCATAAAAGAAAACTTTGAAGAAAATTATTATTTAAAACAACAACAAATATTGATACATATATAAATATAAATACAAAATATAAATGAACCAGATAAGCCTCATGAAATTCACTAGTTAAGCATAGGAGTCAATAAAGTACGCTTTTAATTTAGATCGCAAAACAGAAATTGAAGCAGCAACTCGTATAAGAGTATTCCATAATTTGGAGCCAAAATATTGTACTATTTTGAGGCCATAAAGGGTTGATCGTTTCAAAGAAATAAATGGATCACCGCGGGTGGCCTGACGAGTTCCAAACCTATGAACAGAAGAATCCGGCGTGAAATAATTATGAAAATAAACTAGTGAAAGCTTATTTAAAGCTTTAAGGGTTGAGTTGGTAAGGGAATCCAGTGCCTTAGTTTGAAGAGAAGTCCAGTGGTTCTAGAACGTTTTTTGCGAAGTTCACAGGTATGGTATTTCCAGGAAAGGTGTTCATCAACAAGGACGCCTAGGAACTTAACATACTTGGTTCTTTTTATATTTCTTGCCAAATTTGCGAGGGATCACATCTGGTAGTTTCTTCTTGGGTGCGTTGGGTACAAAGTTAGTTTAGTCAATATTCAATGCAAGTTTGTTACAATCAATCCAGGTTTTTACCTTCTTGAGTTCTTTATTTACTGTTTTGGTCAGTTTAGTAAGATCATCTGTTTCAAAGTAAATATCGGTATCATCAGCAAATAAGAAGAATGTTAAAAGCTTAGATGAGTTTGGTAGGTCATTTATATAAATTAGAAATAACAAGGGACCCAGCACTGATCCCCGAGGAACACCGCTTGTTATATTATAGATAGAAGATGAATGTCCATTTACGGAAACAAATTGTTTGCGATCGTTTGAATATGATTCAAACCACTGTAGAGAATTTCCTCGGATTCCATAGTGTTCCAGCTTGCTTAGAAGAATATCATTGTTTACAGTATCAAACGCTTTTTGGAGATCAATAAATATTCCACACCTGAATCTGTTATTGTCTAGGGAAGACTTGATATTCTCAGTTAAACTAACTTGTGCATGGTCAGTAGAGTGACCACTACGAAATCCAAATTGCAAGTTAAACAACAATTCACATGCCTCAAAAAATCTATAGAAGCGTTGATACATTAATTTTTCAAATATTTTGCTGAAAATTGACAGGAGGGAAATTGGTCTATAATTTAATTTTTTGATGGTGAGACCTGTCTTAAATACTGTGATCACCTTCACTATTTTAAGCTTATTAGGAAAAATACCAGTTTCAAAAGATTCATTGATCAAAACTGATAGGTCAATGGAAATGTGGGGATTTAGAATTTTTAGCAATTTGATTGGGATACTATTTGGACCACTAGATTTACCATTTTTTAGAGATTTTATGACCTCTGATACTTGATCAGTGGTAGAAGGGAAAATGAAGAAGGAATTCTGATTGGGATTAGCTAGGTAAGACAAAGGAGACCATGGGTTTCTTAGGATCTTCTGTGTGATGTCATTAGCAACACTCGTAAAGTAATGATTAAATTGATTAGCTATTTTAACTGGATCCTTATTTTGGGAGCCGTTTTTGTCTGTTAGGTATGGAATTGAGTCTAGATTGTTTGATTTTAAGCTGACAATATTCTTTATACCTTTCCAAAGCATTTTAATATTACTCTTGTTTTCATCAAAATAATGATAAAAGTAGTTTTCTTAGATTCCTTCAGCTCATTGACAACACGGTTTCGAAATAGTTTAAATGTCCTCATTAGATCTGTTTTGGAGTCAGTAGACTTCAGCTGTTGAAATAACCTGCTTATCTCTAATTCTCACCATTTTCAAAATGCGATTATTAATCCATGATTTGGTTCGTAATTTCAATCCCTTCTTATTTGTCACACACCGTGTGTTAAGAGACTTTAGTTATCCTAACAGTAGTCCTTAAAGACTAAAGGTATAACTCAGATAGAACAAACACGGAAGGTTTACGTACTTCTTAGAGCCACTTCAACTCATTCTCTCAATTAAAACTTTACATGCTGTATATATTCTGCAAAAGGATATATAATTAGAAAATCATAAGTAAGTTTCGATACGACATGAAATACGTAAAAAGTACGACATGAAAACATGGGAAAGGAAGGGAAGGGTTGAATAGGTATGCTAAAACAAGCTTAATGACGCTAAACTAAACAGAAACTTACGTAAATGCTAACTGTGATATAAGAAAAACGAAATAAACAACGATGAATAAACTAGGCATTACGGTCTAACAATCCTGGGAAAATTCCGCACTTATAAACAAAACAAAGAAAGGGGATGTCGAGACTATGATGCGTGGATGTGACGCAGACTTGCTTACATGCGTGCAAGAGGGAAGCCTACGATAATGATATGCAAAACAGAAGATCCTAAAATGAATGAGCTTACGGGAAAATGTAAGCAAGCTATGGAGACGGGCCTAAGGCAGGGGCGAATCCAGCAAAAAACCTGACTGAGTTCAAGGCAAAGGCTAGGGACTTTCAGATAATGTATTGATAACTGTGCACAAGACAACATTATTATTCATATTTATGCATTTTGGTGCCACTGAGGGGGAGGTGTAGGTACTATCTTCTCACTAAATCTAGATTCTAGATTTCTTTCCGACAAGACAGTGCCTCTGTGAAAATTTTTACACCCCCTCCCTTTCTCAACCCGCAATTTGTTGTTTTGCCTCCGTAGACACCAGCCTATTCACGACACCAGTCTAACAAACAATGATAGTTCCTCTTCTGACGTACTGTTCATTCTCGCTATATGGTGCAACACCCCCATATTTAAAACAAAAGATAGAATGCATAAAAAGCCGTGCAGAAAAAATCATCTGTCAAAAAGTTCAGAGAAATGAGACAATAACAATGAAGCAAATATGTACATATGTTAACAAATGCCTCCACTCTAAAGCCGCATTAACACGAACAAGTTTTCCTTAACAATTTTTCTTTGAGAAGTTTATTTTGCTCGTGTAGAGTGCACGTGGCGTGCCAGTTTTTCAGCAAATGCACTTGACAAGTAACAAATTGTTATTTGCAAAACTTGCCCGTGTAGATGACTTGACAAGTAAACTTGACAAATTTGACTCAACTCCAGACCCTTCTTTCTGGGTGAGTAATTGCTTTTTCTTAGCTGTCATGGCCGCCACGAGGTTAATCTGGACCGATTAAGGAACGTCAACGCTCTTGGACGCTCTCCAAAGCCGCAAAAGCCTTTGGAATTCAGAACAAATTTAAAAAATTAGTAAACCAATGAAATATGATTGCCTGCTAAGATTTTAAATGAAAATTTCAAAGACTTCAAGCGCAAAATTTTAACCATTGGACTTATTGTGAGTCGGAGTTCCCTAATCAAGTTTCCTGCTAATCCTTTGATCTGTCTGCGACAATGGCTCGCCCAAAGCCGAACCCACCACTTTCACTGTCTTTTTTTCTTAGATTCACAGTACATTAGTAGGGCTACAGTAGCCTGTGCTCCAGACCCCTAACTTGAAAGTTAGAGGTCTGGAACACAGGCTAGGCTGCAGCTGTCCCACACACAAAAAAAGTTACTTCTTCGTTAAAGGGGCCATTTTGGCAAGAAAAATTTGCACAAATAATGAGCCGCGTCAGAAAACCGAAGCTAACCTATAAACTCCGCTTGCCATAACACAAATAGATATTTTCAAAGAGATTTTTTATCTTTCTACGCGAAATGTGTAGAAATTGTCAAAAAAAAACTTGTTTATAATCTACACGGGCAAGGAAACTTGTCATGGGAAATTGCCAAAGAAGGATTGCTCGTGTAAATGCGGCTTAATAACGTAGGCGCTATCTTGGCAGCTATTTTACAATGAAAAACTCCAATGTAAATACCAGGAACAATGGCGCAATGATTAACATCTCATTATTCAACGAACTTCCAAAAGAAATTCGAACAGAAAATGATTTTATTTCTTTCAAAAATAAACTGAAGAGCTTTTATACTTTAACGTAAACTTTCAACCTTACAACTCTCTTTTATACATCTCTACTTCATCCCCCTTGTCCGGATTTGTTTTCCGTTTCAAATTATATTTCATAAATGCTGATTGTAAACTAATTTTTAATCTTAATTTTGTTTATTTTGCCGGGACTACTAGGAAAACAGTGTAAATATGTATAAATGCATATCACTACGGATGTATTATCCTGTATAAAAATTCGAGAACAATAATAATAATAATAATGATAATACTCTTTTAGACCAATCAATACTATCAATGTAGGTTTACAAAAACGACAAAAAGTCCCTTTTAATAGTTTTGATAGTCAATTGCATACGAAAATGAATTTCCGGTGTCAAAAGATGATTTTGCTTTGCCCATTTTTAAAAAGATATCCATATAAGGACATGGGGTAATAAGACGTCACGTGACAAATTAAAGCCCATTTCACTACTTTAAACGTATTTCTACCAAAAAGATAAACTATCCTTCATATTCCACTGCTTAGACCAGATTTTTTGTTACTCTCCGCCATTTCCGTCTGGTACTACGAGTTCATTGCAGGAAATGCGTACTAGCCCTCGGAGTGAATACGAGGTTTATTTCCTTTTTGACTCTCGATACTTCGGATTTCGAGGAAATGCGGAAGACATTTGTCTCAGGTAATTATCTATTTTTAGTTTCAAGCTTAGTTTTATGAATTCAAAAGGAGATAGAAAAGTGAGGTGGTGCAAAGGCAGAATCATATTTATTTTCGAATCGTCTTTCAAAGACCTTAGCGTAACAAAATGGGGGTTGAAAAACCCGGTGATGTATGTATGGAAGACAGTGTTAAGGTAGGGTGTAGTGGACTTCAAAATTTGTTTCCTAGACGTAAGAAACGAAACGCCACGCATACTAAAACGAAAGTACTTTCTTGGCAGGCCTAGTAGCAGTTTGTTAGTTCTCTTTGAAGATTTTATATTCAAATCTGGAACTTGACACTTTCAGATGTTTTTGAGCTTGGATTTTGTTCAAATGTTCTTTATCTTTTACCATTAAGCAGAAATATGCACTAAATAGACTTCATTTCAATTTCCTTTCGTGGTACTCTAGACAAGTACTTGCAAGAATTCAACTTCAGTTAACTTGCCAACTACAGGTTTTGTAGGGTCTCCACAGAAAAAAGCATATACGAATTACAGCATTGTTGTGCAAAGTTTACACAGTCATGGTGAAGAAAGCAAAAAGAGCGAAAAAATATTGATTTAGAATGCTTTTTAAAATATGAAATATGTAGGTTTAACATGCATTTGCCTAAATGCAGTTGAAAGCTTGTTTCAAACTTTTTCTTGATCTTAAATGTTTTGATCTCTTGAAACCATGTCAAATGTTCTTAAGATCAAATGAATTTTTCTTTTAAATCTAAGAAGATACTTTTAATAGACATATTTGGTTATTTTTTTCCTAAAAACATTATCTTTGGCTGAATGTAAACAAACCTCAAGCCAAAGTGTTTAGTTTTTCATGGTTGTGGCTTTCATTTGAGTATAATTTCTTAAACTTTGTGATTCATTAAGCCTTAACCACAAGTGGAAAAAGATTGTCCTCAAATGCTGATTTTTATAAGTTTTTCATTCTGTTGCTTTCGTGGTGCTATTCATTGGGTATCATTTGTTGAAATTTTATGAATCCTTGAATTTACAAAAGCTTTAATAAGTTAGTTTGACTGGCAAGTAGCAGGTAAGATGCCTTTAAAGTTCTAAATATTGTTTTACCAATTTTAAAATGGCTTTGAAAAAAGCAAACATTTTACAACATACTTGAAGCTTTTTCGTCTGACACTCCTCAGAGCATAAAACGTCAGAATAGGTTCCGAAAAAACACGTTTGAAAAATATATACCCAGTTGTGGATCGAAATAGGCCAATTTACCAATTTTATATTTCCTTATATAAATACAAATATATTATCATTCATTTGTTTTTTCCAATTTTGCAAATATTTTTGCAGAAGATGAGCAGGATGGATAAACCAGATCCTCGGCTGCAAATTAGAAAGCTTCCATTCAGAATTCTTCGTGAACTTTCACAACTGTTGGACATCGAGGGAGACAAAGACTGGAAAGCTCTTGCAGCAGCACTGCCTGATGGCATGTTCTCAGGACCTCAGGTGGTGTTTCATTGGAATTTATTTTTATAAGTTCAATTAATAGTCATTTCATCTCCTATGCCATGTACATTTTTCAGTTTTTCAGTTCTATTCTAAAATAGAGGTATCATATTACAGTATTTGTTTCAGCCAAGGCAGTTTGTTGTTATCAACTGTCAATATCCCAGACATATTCATTTACGAATATAGTGTTATCAGCTACATGCATCCAACTTCAAACTGAACTTATTTAGAATATATCAGCTTTGTGGATAGTATGCCCTTACATCTAAGTTTTACAATTTATAATTTCTGCCAAAGTATAATTTTTACCTTCTGTTGCAGATTAAAAGGCTAGAAGGTGTTTCAAAGGCTAGTAAAAGCCCTTCAACTGAGCTTTTGACAGAACTGGGTTACCAGCTCCTCACTGTGAAACAGCTAATTGGCTACTTGACCATCATCAACCATCAAGAGGCCCTGCTTCTTCTAAAGCAAAATGGTATTTACAGTCATTGCATTTGGCATGAAATACCAATTTTTATGTTACAGAAAACATATCTTTTTGCAAGGAACAGCTTCATGCTTTCAAATTTTGGAAAACATTTTGTTTGCACTAGTTCCCAAAATAGCACAGTTTTATTTTTCCTTCTTTTGTTTGATGTGTTTTTCACCAATACCACACATTTTTATCCAGAAAGGCCCTTGACAAATTGTTTTTATTGTGAAATATCTTTTACATAATTTCAGTATTGATTCAAAGATGTTTTAACTTGCTGCAAAACATTTTTTATATTTTTTGTGAAAAACTGATGAATTGTCTCAGAAACCTGTTTTAAAGTGCCCCTTTCACTGGTTTTGTTTTCTGTATTAACAGAGGCAGTTAAAATAACAAGACAGCCAACATCTGTTTCTGAACATGAAGGTGGAAGCATTCGACTCAGATGCAATGCAAAGGGCTTTCCACTCCCAACTTACCAGTGGATAAAGCTTGATGAAGGTGAACTGGATACTGGCATTGACAAGGAATTGATTCTTGAAAATGTTACTCCTGAAGATAGTGGGAAATACGTATGCAGAGTGGCCAATGATGTAAATGCAGTCAACTCAGACATTGCCACTGTTCGAATCATCCCCAAAGGTAATTCTCCCTTGTACTTTTTTCCCAGCATGCACCTTAATTTATACTACAAGGGATTTAAATTATTTACATATTCCAACACTTTGTTGCAAAGAAATTCTTTCCAAAAAATTCTTTAGTTCAGGCAGGCATTTTCATAAGAAATAGCCTAGGCTAGTTGCCCAGGGCTTGCATGATTTCTCTTGCCCGAGCAATCACTCCAGGGAAAGATAATGAATGCTAATAATAAAAATCAACAGTTCCAGAAGTGTTTGTAATGCTTATGAAAAATTATGTTGTAAGGTACATTGGTGTAAGGCAACAGTAGATGCAAACAAACTGTTACGATGATCTGCAAGCACTCTAAGAAAATTTAATTACCAAAAAATATAAATTTTTATTTGTTTCTAAATTGTGTGTACATCACAAAGGTCACAGAAACATTATTGCAAGGTCATCACAAAATAATATACCAAGCCTTTTTAAATACACTTTAACTGTTGAGACTATGTTCCCGGGGCCAATTTGTAAAAATACTAAGTGCCCAATAGTATTCTTAAATATTAACGGTGGATTTGATGTTCAACTGCATTTTCTCTTCCTCTGTGGTTGATTTAGCTTACTTATGTTTCCTGTGTTTTGACTGACTGGCTTTGTATTGTCTATGCCACTTGTTTCGGAAATAAAAGATATCTGGAAATTTGTTTATTAATGACAAATTTATTCCTAATAATTTACATCATTGCACGGGTGATCGAATGCTGGCAGGCTTGGATTTGCTTGAGTGCTGATGCAATTGCGAGTTGTTGCTCACATCAAACAAAAAGACCTGTTCAGGTGACCAAATTTGTTTCTGGACAGTTGGTCTGGTAAAGTGGGCTTGTACAATAGTGTCAAAAACCGTTTCAAGAATTAAAATTATACAGAAGGCTGCATTCTGCGAATATCCAAAACCACGACTTAAAACTGTGCATTGTCATTTTATTCATCACTCTTGCCATATAATTATCTTAAATAAACTTCTCAAATATGTACCATCAATATAATAGATTTCACCACATCTTTTTTTCATTGTGACCATTTTTCGCATTCCATTGACTTGAAGTTCATATGTTGTAGAGGTGGAACCAAGAAGGGAACCAGAACGGTGGATAGGAAACTGTGGATTTGATGGTAACATAGTATTCCAACAATTTATAATAATAGCTAGTTCTCCTTCAGAACTTGTAGAATTTTTTGAAATTATTGGTCGTTATATGTTTGTAGTTTTATCAAAGATTGGACATGCTTGCCATAAATCTTGGTTTCATAAAATTTCTAAATTACTTTACTTTTGTCCATGGAGCACTTTTTTCATAGCACAATTTTTTTCAATGATTATGTTAAGAAGAAGTATGAAGAAGCTTTTGTTTTAGATTTAGGCTCTAGGTTTTCGAATATTTCAAAGCTTAACTAAATGCACTGATATGGGGGTATCTAAATAAATTTTTTGTCATGGTGATAATTGTATTTAAAGATCTACAAATTGTGTCTTTTTAACTGAATACTTTATTTGTGAATATTTCCCAACACAAATCTTTTATGCAGTCAGTTATCAAGCATTTCTCATTTGGACATCAAAGAGATTTAGTATTAGCTAAAAAGGAATCAGCCACCAAATTAAGGAGCATATTACCTCAAACTTAATGTTGGCAAGCAATCTCTCCAGCGGTTTTGATTGCTGTACCAGAGGAGGTTATATTGAGGGAAGTGACTTCCCAACGATTCGCAATTCAGAGTCAGTCAGATTTGCTATTAACAGTCTGCATAGATAATTGATAAGTAAAAGATAATTGTTGGTATATCTGACAGATTTCCTTAAGAACCCTCTCCCCTCTCCTCTTCCCCCTTCTCCTCCCCCTCCTCCTCCCCCAGAAGATTTCCAATAGAAGGTTTAATACTCCTTTTCTTCTGCATTGACCGATAAGATTTTTAAAATAGCAGCATGTTCTCATTTTTCGCTATTTCCTCTCTAGCCTCTAACACGTTGTACAAATGATGATGATTCCTCTTTTTTATTGATTTTATTCCTTTCAATCTGGCTGGGTTTTTATTATTTATAGCAATCTCTGCTCATTTGTTTTCGAATCTTCCTTGTACACGCAGGTTTGGTTTTGAACGATACGCGGAACGATGCACTCAAGCCGATGGATGTTTTCCCAGGCCAGCATTTTGTTTTGTCTTGTGGCGTCGACAGTTTACCAGGCTTGGCCTATTACTGGATGAAAAACGGTCAGGAAATGCCGGGAGAGAACGGGTGCAGGTTGATATTTGACCCATTTAAACCGGAAGATGTAGGCTTCTACTCATGTAGAGTTGTTGGTCCCGAGGGCCACATGCTTACGAAACTGATGCAGTTGAGAGTTGGTAAGAGATTTAGTTGAGAGTTGGTGAGAGCGTTTACTTAGCTTGAAGACGATTTACCTTCACTTTCTTGGTTTTTCAATTTGATGAAATTTTGAAAGATTTACCACCTTGTTGAACCTTTCTATTGAAGCGTTTCAAATGCCGCAGCCAGGGGCGAAGCCAAGAAGATTGTTTGGATGGGTGAAGAGGTGATTTTTGTCAGCAAAAAAGGGCGTGTCTCACTTTTTAACGTGTCTCAAAGTCACATCCACCGCACATCCCCCCACCCCCGTTTGATCACGCCCCTGGGCGCAGCATTCGTTTCCTTTGATGGTTCTCAACTGTGCAGTTGAGCTGTTGAATGAGCGAAATTTCATTTCTTTCAAATGTATGTAAAAACTGTCCTTTGATTTCAAATTTAAGCTTTTGCTGTTTATCACGACAGGTTTCGTGCTCTATTCTCATTTAAGTTCCGTGAACATTCATGAAATTTTGCTATTGCCAATTTATTTAATTATTCCGTTTCCCTTAGGCGATTTGTCGTGTACTGACAGGCAGTTTGGTGAGTGATTCAGTGTTCTTCTGCTAACTTTGACGTTTGTTTTGAATCAACCTTAACTATGTTGATAATAGTCGCTCTGCTGTTATCACAAATAGTTGGACACATTTTTATCAGATTCGATCTACTTTTTAGATAGTTAGGAATATAGCTACATGACTATAAATCGTGCGTTGAAGTAGTTTGAAGGATGACAACCTACGGTTTCAACCCAGTACTGTTCCATCCCGCTCACTAAAGCGTGTACTGCGCTGACTTTACCGCACCAAGCACTATGAAACGGACCGATAAACATTAATCTCGATAGTGTTGAGCCAAATTTAGAATTCTTAGCATTTTTTGGATAATTTGAATTTGAACCTTAAGGCAACAAAACTAAGGAGTCATAAAAATTCTCAGTGAAAACGCCTATGTTTGATAGGCCTTCTGCAGCATATCTTTTTTTAGAATTCACCCTTTGAGTTACCTCATTTTCTTAAATAGCATCATGAATTTGATTATTTGGTTAAAACAAATGGCCGTTGTTCATTTCAGCTTTAGCTTCGCCCGTATCTCTTAGTCTCGCGTTTGAACACACATCTCTTAGCCTTGCGTTGGAACACACATCTCTTAGCCTTGCGTTTGAACACACATCTCTTAGTCTCGCGTTTGAACACACATCTCTTAGCCTTGCGTTGGAACACACATCTCTTAGCCTTGCGTTTGAACACACATCTCTTAGTCTCGCGTTGGAACACACATCTCTTAGCCTTGCGTTTGAACACACATCTCTTAGCCTTGCGTTTGAACACACATCTCTTAGTCTCGCGTTTGAACAACCCTATTTTTTAATCTCGCGTATCAACGCATATACCTCTTAGTTTCCCGTTTGAAACAATGCTGTTGCCATTAATAAAGCATCTGTACGCTTTTGTTTGACGATGTGCAATTGTCTCTTTAGCTAGCGGCAAAGTTGCCTTGATCATTGGAAATCAAGCTTATAGGAACAAGAAGTCTTCGCAAATGGACCTTGTCCACCCGGCAGATGATGCCAAGGCACTTGCTGCTGTCCTCAGGGAAATGGGTTACCGTGTTCTTTGTATGGTCGACCTCGATTTCGACGAGATGACCAAAGCTATCAAGGGATTTTGTGATCTGCTCAGTGTCTCCCCCAACATGTACGGGCTGTTTTATTTCGGTGGTCATGGATACGAAGAGAATGGAAAAACCTTCCTTGTTCCAGTTGATGCACCAACAAATTGGGATTCGGAGAACTGCGTTTGTGCCGACCAAGTTTTGTCGCTGATGCAACGCTCGAAAACCAAGTTCAACATGATGGTGCTTGACGTTTGCCGCCTGCCGTAAGTTTTTTGCTAATTAAGTTTGAATTTGTCAAATGATTTACTTTGCTAACTTGTAGCTTCTTGGTCGAGAAAATATTTTAAAAATAATGTTTATCAAAACCCTAAAACAAAAAACTGAAATTATTTTTGTGAAAAGACTAACAGCGAGTATTAATATTTCAATAAAGAATGTCACTTGTATTTAAGAGATTTTTGAGTGCAATTTCGTCAGCGTGACATCTTTGTTTATCTTCAGTTCTGGAAACGACTCAGAGCAAAAAGCGGGAAAGTCATTCGATGCGGAGTTCATTCCCGGAAGCCAATGTGTCATTGCTTACGCGACGTAAGTGTCACCTTTTAGCTTAGGATTTTATGGTAATTTGCCCTCTTGGGATTAATCGATACAGTAACAAGGGTTTTCTCCCGTTGAAGGTAAAATTTCCATTTTGGGTCAACGTTATTTTTTGAGCAACTTCGTTCTACAGTTCATCAAAAGATTGCCTGTTTGGAAATCCGAAGTCTCTTAATATGAGATGTGATCGGTTAAAATTTCTCAAATTTATTTTTTTTCTTGGCTTTGGTTGCGTAATTTTGAAATTTTGCAGTTAGGGAGGCTTGCTCAATATAAGATGATTTTTACGTTTGTAAGTGAATAATTTTGTATATCTTTCCTTGAAACAGATGTCCACAGTCACAAGCGTTTGAAAGACGGACTGATGCCAATGGCATTTACATGAAGCATTTGCTGCAGCACATAAGAAGCGATTTGAGAGTCGAGCAAGTGCTTTTTAACGTTCACAAAGGTACGTTGCCATCCATCGGCAAAGATTTGTAATCCACATTTTTGGTACTTTTTTGTGTCACCAAGTACGATTTTATTCACACTCACGGGGCTCGGAAATACCAAGGAAATTCATGCGTAGATATCACTTTGCAAAAAACCAGAGAGATTTTTGGGGGCTCAGCCCCCTCCCCTTCTCCTATATGTTTTTTTGATGAATTTCATACTTGGCACTATGAACTAACCCTTGGCACTATGAATGAGCCATTTCTATCAGCCTTCTAGAGCAGGGGTGTACACTTGATAAAATATTGGGGAGGGGGCAAGCCTATTGTTTTAATAAGATGACGTCACATTTCCCATTGTTTTATAACAAAAGACCATTGTCCTCTAAAGTATTGGGGGGGGGGGGTCGTCCGCCACTGTTCTAGAGTCGATGGATAGTTTGAATGATTTCATATACAAAACATTAAATTTTTAATACGATTGCAAGTATAAATGGTATGACCATGTACGTGATCTTGGGTGTGGCTTCCAGATGTTGCCTACAGCACACTCTCCTAAAAGGGTACGTTTTGTGTGGCACAGAAGTTCTTTGTAGAAGTTGATCCTGTCAATCACGAAGTCGTGTAAGTAATAAAAGCAACGTTCATTTCATAATATTAACGAGGCCATTCTTCTTTCAGATGTCTCGAAGGATTCTTCGAGAAACGTTATCACGAAAATAATGTCTCCCACGATCAACTCATCAGCCATTGACAGTTTTAGCTTGTGTGACCCTGTAGTCTCAGACCTAGAAAAAGATCCTACTGAGCAATGGTTCAAGCATCATAGTAAGGCCTTTTTATCTCCATTTGTTTTATTAATTAAGACGATTTTCTTTGTTTGTTACAATATTGGATAATTTTACTGTCATTTCCTTTCTTGTATCTCCAGTTTTAAGACCCGGGATTTCCATGCCACAACAATACCACGTGATTATTACATCACTATACTATGATGTAATCATAAGGTTCCCCTTTTGCCTCCCCTTCCTTGGAACAATGTTGATTAGCAAGTACGTTTTTGCTTTTGACTCGTATATCTAAACTATTTTGTGGCGGAAGTAGTAATATTTGAGAAAACAGATGAAAAAATCTAAGGATAAAGCACACATTTCCAAGTAATTTTTGCAGGGATGGTAAGCTTCATGTTGTTGTGGTTGTCTTTGCCGTTATCAGTTAGTCGATCTCATTGTTTAACTCCTCCGTCGAATCGTTGCGAAGAAGAGTTTTTTATGGCTGCTGCAAAAGTTCGAGCATATATCTCTTTGTAAAACTTTGTAAGCGCAGGCGAATCATGGATTTGAACTGTTTTTCAATACGGATAAAATTAATGGAGATAATTCCTAATTGTTTCCCTGGTCACACGCACTCTAACATTCATTTCTTAATGTTAGGAGACTTCTCCATACTTTTAAATGATCAGTTAAACTTTGGCTATTACCTTTTATTCAACAGTTATTCAACCTAATTTATCCGCCCTTATCACGAAATTTTAGCGCTCTTTGCATTTTCCTTGACATACAGTCATTGACCTTTCACATAGTTCTTGTCCAGAGATCTGACGTGGCTTTACGATACATCCAACTTTCCTTTCTAGGACTACCTGCTTCGCGGATTTTGGAATTTGAAAATGACATCAAAGTTCAGCTCAGTTTTGAATCCGTCTGCTCAAACATTTGCAATCTGGTTCTGCATGTGGTTGATGTTGGGCGGTCGTTTGAGTGTGATGTCAAACTCCTTGAAATCTCAAAGGTAAATTCATAACAGAGGCCATAGCTTAATTCTCTTCATTTCGCAATTATCAGATCGATTTCGATTTTCGTTCTTGCAAAAAGCCCCCCCCCTCCCCCCCCACCTACCGTTACGATAAATGCTGCTTGAAAAAGTTACTTTTCCAAAAAATTTGAAATACTAATAAAGGCGTTTCCCACGTTTTCCGAGAACCTGAAGGGCGTGGTTCAGAAATTTCTTTTTCAACCAATATTTTGGGCATGCAACGCCCTAGTATACTTAACTAAATTTGCACAATTTTCGAAGGTTTTGTCAACCATAATAACCGACAGGGTGTTAAGAAAACGCGTTTTAAGCAGGCCGTTCCATCAAATATTTAACGCCGTCGCAGTTGGTAGCTTGTATGATAAAGACAATTGACAGATACTCAAGTGGCTTTAGCCATCTGTAAAAAAAATGTTAGCCAATCAATAGGCGTGTGAGTGGTATTATGTTCAATGATTGGTCAATTGTCGATTGAAAGAGATGGCTTAGACCAATTTAGTATCTGTCGATTGCCTTTCATGTCAGGGCTGATGTTATCGGTCAGGCACTGCCGTCTTGCGATTAATAGTAAGACCTGCCCATGCAGAAATGATTTTCCCGTTTGTAAGTCAATGAGAGGTTTGTTTCTCTGTACGATGTCAGAGCTCTGATTGTCAATATTAATCCAACGTGACAGACCTATGGCAGTGAAGGCATTCCTTAATTTTTCGGGTTTTGTAAAATATAAATTTTTATCTAATCATTTTATTCATCAATGCATAGTCCTGGACTCTTTTCTTTTAGCCATTGCAGATCGAAGAACGCTACATGAATTACAAAACTCCAATTATGCTGGTAAGTTCTCAACTTGACAATTGCGACCTTGATTGAGTCACTCACGCCCGAAGCTTCATTTTCATGAGGACAACATTCTAGGCAGCCTGTCAAACTTTTCCTAAAATCGCTAGATATATTACTCTTTCCGCAAACAGCATGCAAGGCATCGTTTCTACCCCACTTCTACTTTTTCAATTGAAATGAGAATCAATGAAAACAAACTTTTTCAATTGAAATGAGAATCAATGAAAACAACTTTTGTTATCTTCAAGGACGCTGTGCCGCGAAGCAACCCTGATTCTGCGCAGCAGCCGAGAAGAGCTCTTCTGTACGAGCTAAGAACAACTTTGCCGAATTTGCAAAAGTTGACGGTAGGTTTCCAGTACATTTCAATACCTTCACTGCGTTGTTGTTGTTGCTAGTACACAGTACATGACATATGATGTCACTCACATCCTCAATGAATTGACACATGTTACAACTTTTTAGGGCAACGTTGCAGTGACATTGGAAGCCGCCTATGTTAACATGGACAACAAAGAGCAAAAGACAAATAAATGTTTGATAATTAACATGTCGGAATTTGGAATAACGTCGCTGTTCAAATAGAGGCCGCCGGGTTACACAGAGTATCACCCTCCTGAGACTCTGGCCTACGGTTTATGCAGTGCATTTCAAATATCAATTATTTCGTGTAAACATTAGTTTTAGTGTATAATTATTTTAATATTACTTCAAACATATTACTGCACTTAAAATTTGTTAAATCCATACATAATCGAAGTGAAAACAAGCTGTGACTCTAAACCCAACCCGAAGCACATCCTCAACTATCGGAAACATGTTCGGCCATAGAGCAAGGCGCGTGATTTAAATTTTACAGCCACAACCATGTTCAACATGGCAAATCTGCTTTATAAATCTTCGATTTTCCAGCCGTTTGAAAAATTTTTTAGAGAATAAGTTGAGAAATAAACTGTATCCTATATAGGGCTTTCTTGCCACTAAAATCCTTCACAGTTCCACGATTCCATAACGAAGAAACCGATTTAAGTAAGACATACATTAACTCCAGAAATATTTTGATTGGCAACTGCGAAACGAGTAAGTAACTGGCAGGATAAAAAATGTCGGCAGCAAGAAAGGCTTGGAGTTGTCTAGCTCTAGGTAAAAGGGTGGGAGCAGAATACAGAAAGATTTGGATAAAAGAGACTACAAAAGTCAGCCAGAGATCTGAAAGTAAAAATACACGACCGTTGTAAAAGAAATATCCTTCCAATGTATAAATTTATAACTAGCAATATTGCACAAAACCCTTGACCTTTAGATGATTCGTTTAAGATTCAACACATTCTTTCTCAATTCCTTTTGGTTTACTTTTGTTTCGCGATCAAGGCCAGTGTAGCCAAATTTGATTTGAAAGCACTTCCACTTTTCACTGAAACAAAATCGAAAGACAAGTCAATCAACAGTTTTCTAACTCACATAATTTACAATATCATATCATAGAAACATCAACACAACTGCAACTTAACCTGCAAGGGCTCCAAAAGCTGATTTTCCACTTTTCTAAGATTTTGCACTCGTGTACTTGACAAATCAAGGCAGTCGGTAGTGCAATTGTTGCTGGCTTGTTTTCATATCACAGCCAGGTAGTGTGGTAGTCAAAGTCTAATTAAAACCGTTAAAAAGGCCATTTCAATAAGAAAAAAGGCAAACAAGCCGAACCCAGACTTACCCCTCGAACCCTGGAGGAGCAACCGACTTGTTTAGTAGTTGATTCTTTTAAATTTCAAATGTCGAAGCTTTTAACCCACATAAAAATGCATGGCTGCTTAATCTGTACAATTGCGTTAGAAAGTAATACTTGTTAATACATAGGAAAGAAGCAAGGTCTCACACAATATCGCCAATGAATAATCGAAGCCTTTAGGGGATGCATTCTATGAATCAATGCTTTCGTCTATATCGACTTTAGAAATACTTAATAAGTATGCTATATTACCAGTATTTCCTTTAACTTTGAATTCGTCATCGTGTAGCATTCTCTTCGAGTTATCCTGTTTTGTAAATAAAAATTGAATTTTAATACAGAATTGCATTTCATGACATCAGATCTACCGTTACCCGCCCTTTCTTGCGACCTTCTGAAGGAAGCATAATTTTGGATATTGCTCTGTAGGAGCTCTGTTTCAGCTATCAGGCCAGTTTATGACTATTAGATTGTTGCAAATTTAGCAGCACTCGACCAAGAAAAGGCTGCCCAACCTTGTTTAACTTTTTATCTATAAGAATGCGTTTCATAAGACCGCGAAGGCTCCATTTGCCAAACAAAACAAAAACAATTTAAGTACATGCTGAGTCTCAGATCAAAAATTAGCGTCCATGCCGCTTTCTTCGTCCAACTTGAAGTCATATATCTTTCACTGAGACTTTCACTAAAGATTTCTTGAGAATTTTCTCTTTGTTAAAACCTGATTTACACGAGACTAATTTTTAGCCACAATTTTTTTAGCTGCGAACTATTCTCCCGAATTCAATTTATACTGGCAGAAATTTTTCATGCAAATTCGCTGCAAGTTATGCAAAAAAATATGGCGACTGTTCGAAGGGTGCTGCCATCAGAAAGATTTTTAAGTTAATCTTATTTAAAAAAGCGTGCGAGACAGCAAAAAAGGGATACTGGGTTAGAAAAAATGTATTCCGAACGTCTTCAGAAGGGAGAGTTTCATCTTTCGGTAAGAGATTTACGTTCATATGACCAAAAATACATCTTAATATTTTCAAATGTCGCCATCTATGCTCTCACAAACATGCGAGATCCAGTTCTGCGTCAGCATCGAACAGATCTTGAATCTTTTATGACTGAAAATGTCGTTGTTGAGCAGCATTTCAACGTTTTGAAAAAATTCTTGCCAATCGTTGTTTTCAGACATATTTATTGGTAGAACAACTTTAAGCAAGTTCTCATTCAGAAATTCAAATTTTTAAATAATAATCTGATCTGAATCTACTTCAATGGAGTGTGTACGAGGAAAAGGAAATGAATAATTACCAACCTATTTCATTGACGTTGTATAGGTGAGGGTGTTTGAAAAAAGAAAGCGGAAAAACGTAGGCCATCAGGAAACAAAACACAAGTCACCTGTCTTCAAATGCTGTTCTGATTGGCTTATTTTACAACTCGAAAACCACACAGCGAAAAGTGGAATGGTTTCTACTTTGTTCGAAGCGAATTTTTCGCTGCGATTTCACAGAGAATTTTCTAACTTAAATTCTGCGTATTCGCTGCAAAAAGTTCGCTTCGCACGAAGAAATTCGTCTCGTGTAAATCAGGCTTTAATCAGGCTTTATTTTTTAACAAAACAGATCAGATTTACCAGCAAATCAACTGTACTACTGGAAATGGCATGCGAAACTTTAATTCAGTGGTCTTAAAACCAATTGTTGGTATGTGGTTGTTTTATGAAATACAAATGGGTGTCGAAAAAAGAAAAATATTCGAAAGACATGAAAGTTTTATTAAGACAACGACTCTTGACAGAAACAGTGACATTGACATATCTTGACATTTCCATAACGTGAACACAACTTCTGTGAATTAAAAAGAATTTTCACACGATCTTTATTACGTGTTTTTGGGAAAAGAAAACATGTTTAAAGTCTGTTTTTATCTTTTTTCGTCGCATTTTTCTTGTCATTTGACACACATTTTTCATTTTTTATTAAACGCCGCCCTCTGATAAACGCCGTTCTTTGGTAAACGCCGCCCTCTGATTAACGCCGCCTTCTGGTAAACGCCGCCCTCTGATAAACACCGTCCTCTGGTAAACAATGCATCCAAAAGTTGGATTTTGTAACAAACGCCGCGTAATTTTTTAGAGGAAATACGGAATCCAATAAAAAGAACATCAAATCTCAGCAATAATTATCTGGTTCTCATTAAAAACAGTGAATTAGGGAAAAACTTTCACGAAAAATTCAACAAATCAAACAAACTGATAATATTGTAACTGCAAATTTTCGAATGGATATTCCATTTCTTTAATGAATTATGTAGCGACCTTTGCGCAGAATATGTAACTGCTTGGGGGACAACAGGGTCGCTGAGGATTTTAATCATGACCTTATTAACAAGCTTTTTCTGTTATTGGTTGAACTCTAAACGATTTGGACAGTCCTTCACCGTATATAAGAATAACAGGAGTTGATATATGAACAGATAAACGTTCAGGCCATCCCGTTTTGAAGAGATAAATCTTACATGGTATGAAATATCACAGATCAACCCTGACACAACAAAATAAAGAATTACACAATGGTTTCTGATTCTCTATAGGAATTCAGCATGGCTTTGTATATCAACTTGCGCAAAGTTCAGGGCGGGCTTGTGGAAAACACACTGCAAAAGAAACACTGTAAGCATACGTACGTAGGGTTCAGCTCTTTGCAATTTGACACCTTCTACTGATGCTTCGAACATCATAAAGAAAAGATACGATGACTGCTCAGGCCTATAAATGAATCAAAACAGGAAGTAGCACAAAAGACAAAATACAGGACAGGAAAACATCAAATCAAAATACAGGACCTCCGAAAGCTAGATGCATTTAGATAATGAGTTAATTAAAATGATTAATCCAACAGTCTGTTATATAGTGATCGAAGCCGTATGGGTAGAGCTGTGCACGCTTTAATGTATAGAAAAGAAGAACGGTTAAATGGTATAGATTATGAGTCACGGGTGTATAGAACCCATTAAAGGTCGGTTTTATACACCAATAGTATGTACAACTTTTCCTACACAGCATCAAACACTTGGTGACAGACCGGTAAACAGTAATATCTCTTAGATTATCAGTTAGATAAAAGAACTTGGACTACTCCTTTCTCATTTCTTCTTGATTGCAAACATGACAACTCTTGTGAGAACTGCAAAAATGTCTTTAAAGCCAAGGACTGTGTGCCATAGCCAATAAAAGTGATGCGGCTTCAACTTTCCTAATTGTAAACATATTCATTATTTTAAGCGGCACATACAAATGACAAAATATATTCTTTTCTGCTATAAAAATTACTTCAAAAACTTTAAGAGAAAAAGTACAAACCTGTCGATGACGCAATGATATTCCGATCCCTTTTTTTCTAACCTCATTTCCCAGCCCTGAAAAGCAAAGTTGGTAATACCAGCGTCAATAACTCACACAATTAGCTAGATTTAGCCTCCTTTTGAAGCAAAACGTTGACAAACCGCTCTATCTTTATCCCTCTCCTTACCCCCAGCTTTCAATCAGACCTTCCTGGCCAGGTTTAAATATGATTTTATTTCAAGTTATAAAATCTCTACATACTAACTCTTAATTACTGATATGGTGAATATTTTTGGTTTGTTGGTAATCAGGTTTTCGCATACTTCAGGGCCCAACCTAGCAAGCCTCGTTTTATTTTGGTTGCACGGTACTTTTGCAATGATTATAAAGTATAGTTATGGGGTACATTATGATATGCAGAAAGGCTATTTGTGTATGAAGGGTTCTTTGTTGTTACCACATAACATAACAAACATAAAATATCTGCTGCTGCTAAATCACGAAGTTTATTCTTCAAGTTTAATTGAGGTATCGTTTTATACAAATTTGATAGCGTTCTAGGAAATTTTTTTTTTTTATAATTTTTTGTTTTTATATAACAATGTCCAGTACTTGAATGCTATTTTAGCCATGGATAACATAAGTTCCAAATCTTTGATTGGCTGACCGACCAACATTCTCAATTGCCCGTTAACCAATCAGAATGCAAGAATATGACAACAAACGTGTCTTGCAGCTAGATTAAGGCCTATTTTGGACGCTTTGACGACTACCCACACTAAAATAAACTTGTAAAATGCGCTGAAAGACAGCCTAATTTTATTTTAAAAATTGAATTTTTGATAAATCTACGAAAAAAACTGCCGTTGTACTCAATAAAATTTTTTCCGCGATCGTTAGTTACAAAAGCTTGAAACAGTCCCTTTCAAATTCTATTTTTGATGCCACTGTTGTTTCTGGTAATACTTTACGGTGCCTCTTTCCGGTTCTTCAAGAATTCTCCTTTATTTTTTCAGTTTACGGGCAGCCAGTATTCAGAAGCATTGAACAGTCAGTGACACGTTTCCGAGACCAAGAATCTGGTGCCTATGTTAATAGATTCATCTTTTTACGTTCACTTACCACAGAAAGTTTCTATTTTATCAAGTCATGGAGGTGATCTAATTTTGTTGCTTTTTCTGCTTGATCAACAGTGGAGCAGTTCTATCTTATATCTCTACAGATACACGCCGATGATTTTAGCAGCATGGCCCTCATGGTTGGCCTTTTCTATTTCTGGTTTCTCTTTTGCTTTGGCAAACTCCCGAGCAATGTAGGGACATTTACCTCTGTTTTAGAAAGCTCACAATCTTCTACAGCCACGCCACTTATGATGTCTCATCTGGCTTTGAAAAACAAATGTTGAACATCTAATTAGATTCGTTATCCTGGCTTAACCTCTACTCCTTTATCTCTAAACCTTTTTACCATGTCCAGCGTTACGTTGTGTTGGCCTTTCACCCTTCTTGAATGACTGTAAAGACAAAGCAACATTTATCTGAAACCTTTCTCTCGAATACTCTCCCATAGACATGCTCCATGTTGAAGACAAACTGTGACAGGCTTTCTCATAAACTTGTGACCTAAAAGACCACACCTCCAAAGTATTTTTTCTCTTTCTTCTTCGGGCAGCGACCAAAGGTTTGAAAACAGTTTTTCTTGAATATGTTTTGCCATGGCAATCAGCAAGTTTCTAATGCTACACCTTCCTTCCATTTCACTTGATCAGTTTTTTCACTGGAATAACCTTAAAGGTACTTTAATTCATACAGGTCACATAGGTACTTCAATGACAGACTTTATGTTATAGCTTTTGCAAAATCTAGACCCTTACACCTTAAAGAATATCATTCATAGTGTTTTCTGTGGATAATCTAAAGCGGTTTTAGAATATTAATATCCTCTCATTCAAATTCCATTCACCTACACAATGCAATGCAACACAATGGACTGGACACAATAAAATACATTCTAATACAAAATACATTCAAAATCAAGACTGGCTTGTAAATCATAATTGCGCATTTCTACATGAATTGAGGCAGTCTTACTTCGAAGGCAGTTTGAAAATTAATGAAATGGACACTTCCTGTTTAAAAGTTTTATGTTCATACAAGAAACATCTTTCAAACCAAGTTTTAAACATCTTCATAGCAGGATATAAAATGGATATAAAAAATTCAAATCACTACCTCACCAGTCCCACCAACACATTTGTATTTAAACTGACATTTAACGTTCCCCTAGAAATGAAAACAAATCAAGCATGAAAACTTGCTTTACTGTCGCTTTACTAACAAGAAATTAAGAAGATCGCATTAAGCAACAAGTTACTTGCCGTCTTTCCTTAGCGCCAAGACCGATAATAATTACGTTTATGATTTAAGTTAAAGAAGAAATAATGACCACAAAGTTAAAAATCAGATAAAATAATACCCTCTAGCAAAATAGTGGCCAGGTTGTCCTTAATAGGGGGTTAGCTAAACACTACCCCAAAGCTCACAAAGGCCTTCATAAAATTGCTGATTCTAATGCACCAGGAGAATTTTAGTTAAATCTCCTTTGAACCTTAGCTTAGTTATATGCCCTGGAACTAACAAAAACATTTATCATGCCTCATTGCAATCACAAAATTTGCAATGAAGCTGAAAACCACCTTTTTTATCATTTCTTACTTCCTAGCCATTTTTCAAGAAAATCCATGACCCCAGATATGCCAAAAAAGGAAAAAATGTCAGTTTTCAGAAAAAAAACTTTCCTCGAAACAACCTAATATGCCTTTTTTCATGTCCCCAACATCATTTGAAGTGTTTTGGATGGATTAGTCCATAACAACTTTTTCAAATTGTTTTGCAATTAATTAATGTAAAGAACTTTTGGTAAAAGTCCTGCTTTACATTGGCTGTTTTGCTTGGGTTTTTCAAACATTTACAAATGAAAATGAAACCGAGAGTAGGCAGATTTATTAGGATTAACAAGATATTCCATTTTAAAATTTGCGATAAATCAGTTAAGGAGGCAAAATGCAAAACATTGATGAATTTTTTTGTCCCTGTGTAAAAAAATTATTTTTACAAGATGCTACATATTCAATAATGAGCTCATAATATATGTGATGTACACTGCTTGAATTGTCATTGCAATCTTAGGGCAGTCTGTCCCCTCAATTATTGGCTAATATGAACAATCGGTTTCCCCATCTTGACGAGTGACGCTGCTCACTTTGGCTGGCCTAGGTGCAGTTTTCAAGGCACCAGGGCCTGGCCAAGCTATTTGCTGGAATTAAAGGCAATGGACAGATATAAAAGTGGCCTAAGCCATCTGTCAATCATTTCTAAATGCTATAAATTTTCATGTGAGTGAAACCATTCTCCATGATTGGTTTTAAAAATGGATTAAGCCCCTTAAGTATTTGTCAATTGCCTTTAAGAAAACACTTCTTTTTACCAAAGGAATTTTCAGTGGCCAAATTTCAATATGCAAATGAACTGAAACAAAGAACATTTTCCCCTCTTCCGCAAAAAAGTTATGATTCATTTCAAAACATAACTTAACTACAGTTCATCATGTGTAAAGTCTTCTGCAGGTTCCGCAGGTGAAAAAGCATTGCAAAACTTTTTTAAATGCCCAATGTAACATAATAAAAGTTTTAAGCAATTTTTTGGTTGGTGCTAACAGAATCCTTATCTTTTTTAGGCCTTCTCAAAATTCAGATAAATAATAATAAATAACAACAGAAATAATTATATATGGTAAACTTTGTCAGTACACAAGTACTGTTATCAATAAGGGCCCTGTAAATGCTACAATCGACAATGTTAGTCTCCAAAAAGGCTAAGCCCATGATGGAGATACACAATACTCTCACTACAACAAGCCAACTTTACCTAACTACATATAACTACACACAATAATGGTTAACTGATTAGTAGTTTTGGCGCAAGGGCACTTGGTTGACATGTTTTACTTTGGCTGCATGGCAATGCATACTACATTTAGTGATAACACAGCTATGACAGATCAATATTACAGTAGCCTTGGGTATGTTGCAATGCTACGGATTTCCTGGATCTAATGGCTCTATATAAAGCAATTATCCTCCAAATACTGAGCAATATTGTTTAAAATTCAGTAAATGATAAAATGTTTACATCTGGGCCAATATTTCTCTCTCCATTACCTTGAAAATTTGCCAACATGAATTCCTTGCCCACCCTGTGCTGTCTTTTTGTCTGGTGCGTACCCCCACCAAATAAATATTCGAAGTAGAGTCAGAAACAAAGTAAAGTCAGATGGCCTTGAATATATTCAACAAAATTTGTTATTTTTATACTTTGTTTTGTGAGTGGTTGAAATTCTGATGTGACTTTTGTTGACTTTCTATGAATGTTTGCAATCTGTTTTCTGTTTCTTCCATTACTTTGAGCCGGTACTTACTTGGCGTTGGCTTCCATTCGAATACTTATGGGAGGGGAGTATTGCTAAATAAATTACTCACCAAAGCAACTTCTTCAGAAATTTCTTGACCAAAGGGTTGTGCCATAAAATTGTGGGACGCAGAATTTTCAGCCAAAGTTTGTGTAGGTAAAATTGTGAGAGATATAAGGCAAAAACTTGCAATAATTGAGCATGATAACCCTAACGATGTTCTAACTTTGCTTGACGCCATTTTGCCCTCACAACAAACAGTGATAAGCATAACTGTCGGTTCCCTGTGTTGCATTGCCGCGTGGTTCCAACCAGGGGTACTTCAAGAATCACAATTTAAGCCTTTGATTTTTAATGTACCTTTTTATGACTTGGGACATTTTGCCGGTTATTTCCCCAGGGAGAAATTTAACCTGCAATGATGACCATTTTTTGCAATGATCAAAGCTACATTTGTTCGGTGATGGCATTTTTCATGTTCCTTTTGAAACTAAAGATTTTTTAAATGACAAGTATCGCTGGGGCGGATCCAGCAAAAACCTGACTGAGTTCCAGGCCAAGGATAGGTACTTTCAGATGATGCATTGATAACTTTGCATAAGACAACATTATTATTCATATTTATGCATTTTGGTGCCACTGAGGGGGAGGGGTAGGTACTATCTTCTCACTAAATCTAGATTCTAGATTTCTTTCCGACAAAACAGTGCCTCTGTGAAAATTTTTGCAACGCTTGTTTTGCTCGCAATTTGTTGTTTTGCCTCGATAGACACTAGCCTATACATCCAAATATGGTGTTCCGTCTGAGCATAGGTTTTCCGTGCCATCAAAGACTGCAATTTAAGGCAAAGGTAGTTAACACTCCTGGGAAATTAATGATATCTCCTAGTTTTATCTCAAACGCTTAATAATCTGTTAGAATGCTGCGATGGTCATGAGTATAAGACAAAACTGGTAATTTTAAGATTTTGAAGAGACTGTGATAAAACTTAGAATTTTTAGGTTTCACTTTTTAAGTTTAAATATTACTTATTTCAGGCAACACTATTTTTAGCTGCATGTTGGAAAACTGACTGAGTTCTGTGCACCAAGGAACTCACTCTGGATCCGCCTCTGTATCGGTATAACAAAATTGACCTTTTAGCTGGGTCGTTAATCCCTATATCATTTTTATCCTGCCAGATCTTCTCACTCTTTACGAGTTCTTCTCTTCTATCGCCTTTTTCGCATCAACTGGAGAAAGCTCCACTATAAACGTCACGGAATTTGATTCGAGATTCTTAAATGCTCACTTTTTCTGTATAGATATAATAGAATTTAAGAATTGAAAAGAGATTTTGCGTCATGGCCAGATTTTGCGTCAAATACACGCACATCATGTTTTTATAGAATTTTGAAGCCAACTGTTTTTATGCCAAGTTTTAAAGATCTCAGTGCTACTTTGACAGGACTGCCTTACAAGCCTCAACTATAAAAGGATTTCCTTTAAGACTTCTCAGTGTTCACTTCTTCCGCCTCGCTCGCATTTTCTACAACCTGCCGGCCTATATACCAGCAGACCCATAAACCTGCCTTTGTTACAATGCGAGCAAAGATCAAGTCACCAAATAGCGTGTTGCTTTTTTGTACTTTGATAATGGCAATCGCATTTTTGCAGATTTGTTTATACCGCAGCAAATAAAGTCTGGATGTACGCTGTATTTTTCACCATTTTAAAGCTACATACTCTCATATCATCCCTGTTTAAAGGTACTATCTTAAAATGTTCCTTTTACCTACCTTTATCATGCTTGATCATCATATCAATTTTTGTGTAGGCCCGATTCCGTTTAATAATCAAATTAACCAATATGATTGAATTTTCAAAGTTGAAATTTAGAGCCACTTTTCACTTTAAAAATTCTTGATCTGCAGAGAGAAATTTACCCATTGAAATGTAGTCTAGACTGAAAATCAAATTATTTAAGTTGTAATGTTCATGAGGAGAAATCTGTATTCTGGTATGTGTCTTGTACTAAATTTAAAGGGTCTCTGTTGATATTAAACGTGTTAAATGCTAAAGTATTCCAACTCAATATGCTTTATCTAAGTATATTGCAGAATTTGATGCCAAGCTGTCTAATTGCAGTTGAATCAACAATTTACGTCTCGTGGCATGGCAACGACACAAACAATAAATGCGAGATCAGGGAGTCACCGTGCAAATCTCTTCGACATGCAATCTCGCAAAGCAAGGACCAAGATGAAATTCACGTCCTTGTGGGCAATGACAAGAATTATACAAACATAAACAGTAAAAGATTATCCGTAAAGGAAGATGGCAATGAACGGTCTGTATCCTCAATTTTTGCTGTGAAAGAAACAGTGACAATAACGAAGTCTTTACAGTTTGTAGGAGTAGGAGGTAGGCCTCTTTTGCTTCTACCTACAGACAAATTCGGCTTTGCTGTACAAGCCTTCAAAGAACACATCAAAGTCTCGTTCACAAATTTCGAGGTGGCAGAGACGCACGTGCACGAGGTTGAGAAGAGCAAGACATGCAAGCCAGGGTCACATGGATTTATATCTATGCAAGGAGTGAGTGTAAGCATCCGGGACTGTGTGTTGCGACGCATGTGCAATGCCATCAATGTTGTTGGACCTAACAATGGGCTTTCTGAAATCAAACTGGCGGAAAGCTCAATAACAAATGTTCATTATTGCGTTTATTCAAAGAATGTATCAATGATAACCCTTGAAATGCAAGATACTAGCATCGTTGGGGAAAATGACTCGCAAGTCCCCTATTACGCAGTTTCCTTAATTATCATGGACGCCGCTGTTGTCCATATCATTGGATGCACCTTCATTAAACTGAACGAGGCCGTTGCTATTTCAATGCACCACGGAAAACTAGTAATGAAACTTTCTCATTGTCGATTCCAAGAGAATTCAGGGCAGAGTGTTTTGTTGAGCTTCTCGGCGAATTCAAACATGCAAGCTTCGATTATCCACTTGGATCGCCTTGAGTTTACAAATAACGATGGGGGGTACGCATCATCCCTCCATCTTGTTCGGTCTTGGGAACTATCCGACAAAGTTAGACGACCGGCACCGGAAATACATCTTACTCGGTCGGTATTTCGCAACAATTATGCCCAAGCGTTCTTCGGAGCAATCTACGCAGAGGGAGTCCACTTGCAAATACATTCAACACAGTTCAACAATAATACAGCTGGCAATGAGCTCTCTGCAATCCAAGCATTCGGAGGAGCTATCTTTATAGAGTCTTGGACGAATGTTGAAGTCATTAATTCTTCTTTTGCAAACAATACATGTTCTGGGTTCGGAGGTGCGGTATTTTCACGCGGATACTTCTCAGCAAGAAACTGCGAGTTTCGTGGCTCGGCCAAGAGTTCAATTAAACCACTTCTCGGGGACATTTTGTATGCAACGGCAGGCCTGCTCTTGGAAAACACAACATGGTATCCGGATAAATCATATCGATCAGAATCTGCGATTTGGCATCCTGGCAGTCCAACTCTTGAGTCTTGGAACATAAAGATCGCCGGTCATTTCGTAATTTATTGCCCGGTCGGACATAATGTTACCGCTCATGGCCTTTATAGACATCCTGGTATGTTGACGGATCGGATTTCAATGGGGTGTCGCTCTTGTCCGAGAGACCAATACAGCCTTCAGTCCGGATATTTAAAGCTGGTTTCTATCGACGACAGAGTTGTTTTTCACGATATTCGCAACGTCTCATGTTTTTGGTGTCGATACGGTGGCGTATGCGAGCACGGTCACATAAAGTCGAGATCAAATTACTACGGATATATTTCCGGACATCCAGAAGAAGTTAAGTTCATTTCGTGTCCTTTTGGGTACTGTTGTAAAGGTGACGATTGTGTGTCTTATAATTCGTGCAGCCCTCTACGAAGGGGTTCCCTTTGTGGGTCCTGTGCAGAGGGAATGACTGAAAACTTGCTCAGTGCCAATTGTGTGAAGAGGGAAAGCTGCAAAGATAGATGGTTTTGGCTGATCTATTTTATGTCAGGAATACTTTACATTTCCTTCTTTATGTATCTTGATAGGATAAGTGCATTTCTGAAAGGACAATTAATATGGTGGGAAACAAAGCTAGCGAGTATTAAAGAGGGGAGTGAAGTTGACCAAGGACCGGATGAGATGCCGATGCATGGTGCAGTGGAAGCTGAAGAAACTACAGGTAGTATATGCACCAATGATGAAGAAGAAGAAGTAGTAGAAGAGGATATTCAATCGGAAGGAGGTGTTTATAAAGAGTGTTCACAATCTCAGCAGAATGACGAGAAGGATACTTCTAGCCAAAGCGACGTCTTCAGCAACATAATCAATATTACATTCTACTTCTACCAAATGATTCTGATAATCCGTGACCACGACAACGTCATTCTTAGTCAAACTCTGGTTTTAGTCAAAGAGATTTCCACAAGCATCTTTACTTTCTCCCTTGATGCTGAGTCGTCCCTTACGCTGTGTCCATTTGCCGGTTTGTCACCAGTTTCCAAGAGCTTTCTCGTGCGTTCCTTTGCAATCTACGTCATTGCATTGCTTGTCATCATAAACACTTTTGAAGGGATCTACACCCTCTTTCAGAAGATTTTTCCCTGGGGAGAAGTGAGGTTGGCACCAAACACTAACTCGACCTTCACGGTCCGTCTTCGCGTCACAACTATACAGATAACCTTGCTCGCCTACTCGACAATAACGAACATGACAATGAACTTTGTGAATTGCGTGCCAATCAATGGAAACAGCGTTCTTTACATGGATGGAACGATCAAGTGCTTTGTTTGGTGGCAGATTGTCGCCATTTTCTTTATAATTTTCTGGATAATACCGTTCCCTTTCGCACTGGTTCTTGGCATAACCCGACTCCAGGACAACGCAATGTCCTACCATAGATTTATTATTGGTCTCATTTTTCCCTTCTGTTTTACTTTTTACTGCCTGTTGCAAAGAGTACTGTGCTGCTTCTGGATTGATGCAAAAAATGATTTCAACAAATGCTGCGAAGGAGACCAAGAGATTTCAGAAGATTCAAGTGACGTCGAGCGAGTAAGACAGGCTGTGGAATCATCCTCAGTACAAGAAATACTCTTGAGGTTTGAAGCGCCTTTCAAAGAAGAAAACCCGGGAACAATTAGCACGAAGCCGGGATTCTGGCAGGGGGTTCTGATAATCCGGCGCTTGATAATCATTATAATGTTCACGTTCATTAACAACCCGGTAACACGACTTTACTTTATCTTCACAGCTTGCCTCTTCTTTCTCATGCATCATCTTGTGTATCTTCCATACAAGAGAGATGTCATTAATTTCTTTGAAACATTCTCTTCAGCTACACTTGTCATGTTCTGCAGCATTAATATATTCTTTGCTTACAGTTATGTGAGCAACGTACCCCCTGAAAATGCTGATGCGAGAATTAGCTTGATCTTCGATTGGTTTGAAGTTGTCATACTCGTGCTATTTCCTCTTCTCTTTTGTATCTTGCTCCTGATTTTGGTAATAGCTAGAATATCAGCTACCATATACAAAGTTTTTGTAAATTTTTGTAGAAAGATTGATTAACAAAATTGCAACATGTAGTTTTTGAGAATATTGGTTGTTCTTCTTTTCGGACGTGGTCTAGCTGATATTCCAAATCATTAATGCGTGCATAGCTTTTTTAACATATAAACTAGGCGACATTTTTACCGTCCAGTGAAACAATTTTGCCGCCTCCCGGACAAAAATAGTTTAGACCTTTCAAGAAATCTTTATTTATTTTTTTTATTATTATTAAATTCCTATTTCAACACGATATCCCATCAGAAACCTCAGTACAAGTTATGATAAGTTAAACAACTAAAAATGGAAGACAAAAATTTAAAAAATTATTTAATAATATGAGTGACTTCAATCTGACGTTTTATCTTCCTAGGAGTCGTGTTTTAATTCGGATTTCCTGAGCTCTTCAAATGAGCTTCTAACATATGTTTCTCTTTCCTTTGAAAAATAGCTTCCCCCTCCCCCAATTCAATGTTGAATGCATAATTTTGAAGCAAAAATGGTATCGGCCGGGCAAATTTGGAAATTTTGTTTAGGTCGCACTTTTACTGCTACTTTTGCCCCAGCGTGGTTTTTGGATTTATGATCTTTTTCTCCCATCTTTTTTTCAATCTCCGCCCAGTTGGGAAAACAAAACAGAAACGAGGCAAGCAACAGCAACATAATTACATTTCGGTCTTTCATCTCGAGTTCGTCTCGAGATGCAGAAGTAGAGTCTGAAGTATTGATGAACAGCGAGAGTATACAGGGCCGCCAGACCCAATTTTAAACAGGGGGGCCAAAAGGAAAAAAAGGGCACAAACATTTATTTTTCGCAACATTGGTTGTTGCCAATATTGGACACAGCGTAAATGACTATGTGCTCGATTCAACGGTCACTCACTTTTGGGCATACTTAATTGTATTATTCCTCATGGGCGTAGAAACAATGTAGAAATAATGATCATTTGAATTTTAAAGCACAGTTTTTATTGGTGGATTTCTATTTTTTTCAACAAGCGCCCTTTCTCTAGTGAGCGCCCCTCTCCAATGGGCGTCCCTTTCTAATGAGCACCCTCAATTTGATGCCAAAATGAAATTGACCAACCCTGGCATTCATTAGAGAGAATACGGTGTGTATCCAACTGAGAAACAACTGTAGACACGCTGAGGAAATTTTTCTCGCCCAGAAACTCCTTCGCAATAGATAGAGTTAGAAATTGAGAATCGCATGAACAACGCCTTGATTTGTTTTACTTGGCGTCTAAAGGCAAAATATCTGAGTGTAAAAATAGCATACACAATAATTTTTTAAAGGCATTTTTCACACTTTTTCCAATCAGAGCGGGGGGGGCCTGTGCCAGTGTCAGATCTTGTAACTTTATCATTGCATCTCATTATTTTCTATCTATATTAAATGCGATGCCTCTTTGGTTATAAAGCTGCCTAGAAGGATAGGTGAATTTCTTTAGGAAAGATTTTTTCAGCTTTATTTCTTTTAACCGTTTAAATATCCTTAAATAACTGATAAGAATGTGATGCAAAATGCTTGCATGTTTTGCATGTTCTTTTGTTTATTGTGTATTTGTATGCCTGTCTTCTGTTTCTTTACGTGACAATGATCCCTCTTGGCTAGAGGGTTAAGTTTAAATGCAAAAATGAAAATTGTCCCTCACAGGTAGGGGCTTGCTATGCGTGATCCCTCTCACGTAGAGGGTTGCAAAATTGTCCCTCTCTGGTAGAGGGTTGCTATATATGGTCCCTCTCAGGTAGAGGGTTGCAAAATGAGTCCCCTCGGAATAAGAGGGTTAATTACAAAAATGCGCACTCTCTCAGATAGAGAGTTTATAATCGTAATCTCGCTCTTTTGAGCGCCTGAATAAAACGTGGCTCGCTTCGTCTTCGGGACCATATTCAATCGCTGGTATGTATGGTGAGTTCCTAATTTCAATTTCATACTGATTTTTGAGGCTACGTTTTCCACGGTATGATTAGGGTCGGGATTGGGGGGGGGGACTCTTTGAGTTTATGGTGGGGAAAAGAGACTTATCTTGTCCATTCCCTCCCCTTTATCATTTAAATTTCGGGGTTACTATTGAAAATCCCTAAGTAACTGCTTCCTGTTTAGATTAGTGGTAGGTTGAGCGATTTGCGCCGATGCACCAACGGCCCAACTCGTTCTCGATGATGTGGGAACGTAGCCTCATGACTTATTTTCTGATATCTAGGACATGATTTCTGAGGGAGCTTTTTGCCCTTCGTTTGGTTGGTATTTTATTCATGAGTTAGAAAATTAAAGGTGACCTTTCTGCCGTTTCGAATTAAATTAAAGTGGTTAAAAAAACTAAATGTCAATTAGATGCGACACCAATGCAACCTTTAAATCCTTTGAATTCTTTAAATTTAATTTATTTTGAAAATTTTATCTCGTGACATTGGATTCTCGTCGTCGTATTGCTTTGTTCCTGTATATCTTCCATAACAACACCCATTGCAAGATTCACAGAATCCTGCGGACAGCCTATCCTGCGGTTCTTCCTTCTCACGCTTTAAATCCTTTGCCGCATTGAATAATTAAACGCGTTGCTAGTTCACAGGCTTGTCGCATAAAACGGCAGTTGCGCGACTGGCTTTGAAGATCGCTTTTCTGCCGCGTCAAATTGAATTAGCCAAAGCTCCAAAAGTGCGTTATTATTTCCAACCAATTGCGCATGCGTAAAAAGACCGTTGGTTAAAGAAATGGTGGCGACAAACAGTGCCGATTCGACACACAGAGAAAATGGCGGCAACAGCTGGGTGGACTCCCTGCTCTAAATAAAGATGAAGAGCTGGGAAAACCATTTCCTGTATCCTTGCTTTTATATAAACTCCTCTATCTCTGATGCAGTTTTCCTTGTAAGGGATGCCTTTTTCCTTGTAAGGGATGCCTTTTTCCTTGTAAGGGATGCCTTTTTCCTTGTAAGGGATGCCTTTTTCCTTGTAAGGGATGTGCCTTTTTCCTTGTCAGGGATGCCTTTTTCCTTGTAAGGGATGCCTTTTTCCTTGTAAGGGATGCCTTTTTCCTTGTGAGGGATGCCTTTTTCCTTGTGAGGGATGCCTTTTTCCTTGTAAGGGATGCCTTTTTCCTTGTAAGGGATGCCTTTTTCCTTGTAAGGGATGCCTTTTTCCTTGTGAGGGATGCCTTTTTCCTTGTAAGGGATGCCTTTTTTTTGTAAGGGATGCCTTTTTCCTTGTAAGGGATGCCTTTTTCCTTGTAAGGGATGCCTTTTTCCTTGTAAGGGATGCCTTTTTCCTTGTAAGGGATGCCTTTTTCCTTGTAAGGGATGCCTTTTTCCTTGTAAGGGATGCCTTTTTCCTTGTCAGGGATGCCTTTTTCCTTGTAAGGGATGCCTTTTTCCTTGTAAGGGATGCCTTTTTCCTTGTAAGGGATGCCTTTTTCCTTGTAAGGGATGCCTTTTTCCTTGTAAGGGATGCCTTTTTCCTTGTCAGGGATGCCTTTTTCCTTGTAAGGGATGCCTTTTTCCTTGTGAGGGATGCCTTTTTCCTTGTGAGGGTTGCCTTTTTCCTTGTGAGGGATGCCTTTTTCCTTGTAAGGGATGCCCTTTTCCTTGTAAGGGATGCCTTTCTCCTTGTAAGGGAGAAACAGGATTTTTACAAATTACCATCAACGCCTTGAACTTGTTTCGTGCCTGGGCAACAGTAAATATAAGGGTCGGCCTTTGGCTTTCAATTACAATTTTACAATTAACTTTCTCAGCCATACGCAAGTGATCCCTGTAGCAGTTAATAAACAATATATCTCTCGGAAATAGCCTCGATTGAATTTTCCCACCCCCTTGCAGCAATGTTTCTCAGCTCACAAGTAGACTTTAGGTACTTCATGTATAGGAGATTTGGGTCCCTCATGCTGAAAAAATGAGCATGAGTTGGGGTCCAAAACGGGCCAAAATAGCATGCGCAAGATAGAATCAAGCCAATCAAATCAGTGCTAGGTTTATGGTTATAGTGACGAGGTCATGCTATTCCAAATGAGCATGACTTTCCACAGGGATACCAACTGAAAAGTCATTGAAACTCAGCCGACTCACAGGAGCGGTTGGGCTCTCTGCGCAAACACAGAATAGGAAATAGGCAGAAGGGTAACTCTCGTCGGTAACTTTGTTATTTTCAAAGCCTGAGTCAACAATAGAATTCCTTAATTCCCCTTTAACCTCGATTTCATTAGAAGAACTTAGCCATCACAAATATTATTCATTTATCAGATATAAACGAATTATGATACATATTAGAATTTGTTCACTATCATGGGGCATTTCGTCTCAAATAAAGTTGTCCAATTTCATTCTTTTTCAAAATCTCCCCGACAGATACATGCTAAGCCTCGTAGAAGTTAACGCATGCGCTATTTTTTTCAGGCTTCACCTGATAGGCAGGAGTCCCCCTTCTGCCAAATTCCTATTTTGTGGCGTAAAGAAACCCTATGGCAGGTCATGCTCTTCAGAATGAGCATGACTAGCCACAAGGGACCAAGGAGGGGAAGGGCAGTAGAATAATAAGAATAAACTGGACGAAAGGGGTTTTGAAAGTATTTTTTCAATAAAGGAAAGTTTTAATCGTTATAATAAATGTCTTTAGCTCTGAAAATTTTTAGTCATGCTCAGCATGACCAGCATGACCGCTAGCTTTGCCACTGAGTTAAGTTGCATTTCTTCCTGCGGTCCTCGCATCGCGCTGAGAGAAGGCAAACAACTTTATTGTTAACCTCAGTGTTTTTTGAGTTTGTTGTTCATAAATGTAATTTTTCGCCTTAGATATTCAAGATATTCATCTTCACAAATAATTTCGTCATCAATCGAGGTCATCAATAATTTCTTCGGGTCATGTCGATTTGCGACCACTTCTCTTTCGTCTTGCTGCTTTTTCCCTGGGCCTAATAGAGGTGTCGAAAAGCTCTCCACCTTGCATGCTATCACTCCCTTGATTTTCACTGCTACTTCTAGCTTCTTCCTCATATTCAGATTCGATTTCATCGTTGTTGAGGGCTTTTTCCGAGCTCATTTTCTTCTAGATGTGAAACTTTGTAACTTTGATTGCAGTTTTTGACTACATTTAAAGCAGAAAACCCGCCAAAACACTAACAATACCTAAAGCGCATGCGCCCAGATATTTGGTGCCACTTTTAAGTTCGACGCGACATGATTAAGTTTGACCTTTAAGCTTGGCTTCCACTATGAGTTAACGTGAGTTAATTTGAGATAATTTTGTGATCTGACATGGTTTAAAAATTATCTCATAGTGGAAACGGTCATTAAAAATTATCTCATGAAAATTAACTCGTGTTAACTCACGTTATCTCATGAGCTTGGCAACAAAATTTTTTGATTTCAAGCTCATGAGTTAACTTGAGATAACATCTTGTCAAAAGAAGCTGATGCGTGGGAGGGGAATGTGCTATAATTTGCACTGAGGTTCTTACGCAACGCACTTGCACTGAGTATTACTTCAGATGTTGAAAACAGTTTTCTTTACTAAAAAAAATTAATTGTGAAATAAGAGAAACATTTTCTCATTTCTAAGATCCTGTTGAAAATGGTCGTGTTCACCAAACGCATATCTTTTTTTGGTAGACTCTCTGTCGCGGAAAGCAGGGAGTTTGCCGCGCAAACGCCTTTCCCACGGTTTACTTGCGTAATTAACCAGCGTGCTATTAATCAAGGTCGTGTTTTCAGTATTCTTACTATTTCTTTTGTCTCGTAATAGATCTACATAGGTTTAATCGTTAACACATTTATTGTTGGTAATATCTTTTGTATTTGCCGCTTGGTTAATTGACTTGGAACATTTACACATATCTTTTGTAATCATATTTTCTAAAGGGACCGATAACTAAAAACTAATTGCTTATGGTTTAATGAAGTCAGTGTGTGTTGGAAATGAGCGTGTAATGTATACCACATATTTTTACTAATAAAATTATAAAATACAAAATGTTGTATTGATTGTTGATTGCCTTACTGCAACACACTTTGTTGATTTGTTCGGACTGTTACGATACAGTGGAGGCACCGCCCGGATAGTGTGTTGGAGTAAGTTTTGTTTGTGGAAAATATGTCGGTGATAGATAGGAGAAAGAACGTTCGATTGGCGCATAGAGAATTTGCATTGCAAATCATAGAGGACGGTAATGGAAACGACGTGAGTGAAACAGATTTAAGAATGATTCAGTCACAGCTGAAGGAAAAGCAGAAGAAGCTTGATAAATTGGACGACGAGATATTGGGGTTAATAAGTGAGGAAGGAGAAGCCGATGATTGTGTAAAGGAAGGCAAAGAAGCGGGACAGTTTAGATCAAAAGTTCAGGCTGCTATAATACAAATCCAAGGTCGATTGGATGATAAGTTACAACGCAGTGGTTCCATTGACAGTCTAAGTTCTACAGCCACTTTGAATACTAGAAAGGTACGGGCAAGGTTACCTAAATTGGAGATGCGAAAATTCAGCGGTAAACCGTATGATTGGCAGGAGTTTTGGGACGCATTTCGCTCGTCAGTTCACGAAAATGAGGAACTATGTCAAGTGGACAAATTTACGTATTTACGCTATCTGTTAGACGAGCCTGTGAAAAAGGTTATTGCTGGGTTTTCCTTAACTGAAGCTAATTATGAAGCGGCAGTAGATTTATTGAAACAAAGGTTCGCAAAGCCAGTAGTGATAAAAAGATCGCATATCAATGAGCTAATGAATTTGCAACCTGTTTATAAAGAGCGCGATTTGGATCGTCTTAGACATTTCTACGATATGGCTGAGACACATTTTCGAGGGCTGCACTCTATGATGATAGATGAGACCACGTATTCTTGTGTTGTCGTTCCATTGCTGCTCGACAAATTGCCAGAAGCGGTTCGATTGAGTATGTTGCGAGCGGTGAAGGGCTCTGAAAATTTACCCATTTCGTCTTTTTTGGAAGTGTTGAGAAACGAGCTTGAAGTACGAGAGTCGCACGTTTCAATCTTGAAGCCAAACCTTGCTGGTTCGTCTGGAATGCAGTCAATGATTGCTAGTGGAAAAGGCAAAGATTGGGTGAGAACATCGAGTGCCTTGCACAGCGTTGCAAAGGACCATCGATGCGCCTTTTGTTTAAAATTTCATGAAGAAATTGATTGTCAGAATGTAAAGGACTTTAGTGAACGTAAAAATATTGTGAAAAAATATGGTCGTTGCTTTCTATGTTTAGCAAAGGGTCATTTATCCTTCAAATGTAGAAACAATATTTCATGCAATATTTGTAAGGGTAGACACCATAGTGCCTTATGTGAACAAGGTAATGCTAATTCTACTGCGTGTAAGGATGTCGGAAAGGCGAACACGAATACTTGCGTAGAGAGTGTTGAATGTGGGGGGAGGGTAGCTCTCCAAACCGCGCAAGGTTATGTTAATGGAACGAGGAAAGTGAAAGTGCGAGTACTTTTTGATGGGGGAAGTCACAGGTCCTTTGTTACCTCCAATGTTGTGAACAAAGCAGGCATTTTTCCTTCTCGCAAGGAGAATTTGCGTATATGTAGATTTGGTGAGACTAATGTAGATGTTTCTGCAAAGGACATTGTTCAAATCACTTTGTCGTCTGTAGATAAGAAGTATAACATCCCATTTGAAGCTTGTGTTGTAGATTCCATCTCACAGCTGGAAAACCAACATTTAGAGATCGTAAAGAAGGATTTTGCTCATCTGAAGGACATTTGGTTTTCAGACGTTGATTCGAAAGAAGAGCAACTAAGCATACAAATTCTGATCGGTGCAGATTACATGTGGCGGTTTATGGAGGACGAAACGAGAAAAGGAGGTGTGAACGAGCCGGTCGCCGTACGAACAAAGTTGGGTTGGGTTCTTTCAGGACCAGTTAAAGGTGAGATCGTTGATGTTACTTCTGTCAGCAATGTCAATATCAATTTTGTATCGGATAAGGAAACTAATGTGTTTAATGATAAGGCCAGTTTACAGGATCAGATCCACAAACTATGGGATTTAGATTCTGTCGGAATACGGCCTACAACTGATGTTCATGAAGATATTGTGGATAATATCGAATTTACAGGCGAGCGTTACTCGACTAAATTGCCATGGAAGGAAGCCCATAAACCCCTTCCAACTAATTACGGTGTCAGTGTAGCGAGATTAAAGGGGCAATTATCTAAACTCAAGAAAAGCCCTGAAGTATTGCAAGAGTATGACAATATTATTAAGGACCAGGTTGAGAGGGGGATTATAGAGAAGGTTGTAGGTTTAGATAATTCTAGCAATGTTCATTATTTACCACATCATGCTGTTATAAGGGAGGAGGCAGAGACCACCAAATTGCGTATTGTTTACGATGCATCGTGTAGAGAAAAACACAATGGTACTTCTTTGAATGATTGTTTACACGTAGGCCCGTCCTTGAATCCGTTGCTTTTTGATCTTCTTGTCTCTTGGAGACATCACCAAGTCGCCTTAGTCGCCGATATTGAGAAAGCCTTTTTAAACATAGAAGTGCATCCTGAAGACAGGAATTGTTTACGTTTTTTGTGGGTTAATGACATAAATTCCCAGTCGCCATCTATTGAGACGTATCGTTTTAATAGAGTAGTTTTTGGAGTAAATTCATCTCCATTTTTACTCAATGCTGTTTTACGTCATCATATTGACAAATATACAGAGGTCGATCCGCAATTTGTATCACATGTAAGAAATGAATTTTACGTAGATGACCTAGCATCAGGAGCTAAGAATGTAACAGCAGCGCTGGAATTGTATTATAAGGTTAAGAACAGGATGGCTGAAGGAGGTTTTCATTTACGCAAATGGAAAACTAATGAACCCGAAGTCGCGAAGGTTATTGAATCTGAGGTTATTCAGGAGTTGAATTTTAAGACAAAAGAATGCGACAATTCGTATGCGAAAACCATCTTGAATGAGGGAAAGGATATTGATTCCTCATGTAAAGTTTTAGGGATTCATTGGAATCAACGTGAAGATACCTTGCAATTCGAATTTTCGAAAATTGCATCCGAACTACTGGGTAAGAAAGTAACCAAGCGTGAAATATTAAGTTTTCTTGCCAAAACTTTTGACCCGTTAGGAGTTCTTTCGCCTATTCTGATTAATGGGAAATTTCTTTTTCAGGAATTGTGTGTCGAAAATATTGGGTGGGACGACGAGTTACCCCCTGATAAATTAGAGCGTTGGAATAATTGGTTAAGTTCATTAATTAATGTGGGCTCTATTGTTATTCCCAGATGTTTGTATGGGAAGAATGCTGAGAAAATTTTGCATTGTTCCCTACATGGTTTTGCTGATGCGTCTTTAAAGGGTTATTGTGCTACCGTGTATTTTGTTTATGAAGCTAAGGAAGGAGTTTTCAGTCAGCTAGTATGTTCAAAAACCAGAGTAGCACCATTGAAAGCTCTTTCTATCCCGCGTTTAGAATTAATGTCTGCTAGAATTCTCGCAACACTAATGAAAACTGTTTCCTCAGCCTTAAGTAGTTACTGTTATATAGAGGAAAGGTATCTTTGGCTTGACAGTAAAACCGCATTGTTTTGGATAAATAACAGAAATGAATGGAAACAGTTTGTGCAACACAGAGTGAATGAAATTTTAAGGTTATCTTCAAGTGAAGAGTGGAGACATTGTCCCGGTAAAGATAATCCAGCAGATTTAGGATCGCGTGGGGTTTATGCTGATACTTTGAAGGATAGTGAGTTATGGTGGCATGGTCCAGACTGGTTATGTCAAGATAAGTCTTGTTGGCCGTCAAATATTGATTTAGGTAGACCTTCTGAAGTAGATGTGGAACGTAAGAAGGTTGTCAATTCCATGTTGATTAGAGAGGAGAGTTCTAAGGATATTGATCAACTCATTGACATTAATAAGTACAGTTCGTTTGATAAGCTTGTACGCGTTACTGCATATGTCTGCCGATTCATAAATAATCTTAAAGCTAAAATGAACAAACAGGAAAAATTAATTGGATCTGTAACTGTAGCAGAAATCTTGTCTGCGGAAAGGTTGTGGATTATCAATGCGCAGGCAGTCTTGAAACAAGATCCAAAATTTGAATTGCTTAAGAAACAGCTACGCATTGAAGAGCAGAGTGGTATTTTAAGATGTGTAGGTAGACTATCAAACTCTGATATGGAATTTGAGAGCAAATTTCCTATAATATTGCCAAAGAACCATCATTTCACGGAACTCGTTGTTTTACATGTCCATGCGTTAATGGGGCATGAGGGTCTTCGTATCA